AAGAGATTTCTGGTCCACACATTTTCGCTTTTTGACAAAAAAGAAGGTTGAGGATTCGGGTCATGTAAAATTCAATCAAAGAGTGCTTTTGCTAAATTGACTAGGTGAATCATTTCTACAAAATAATATCATGCAGAGATTAGTTGTGAGATTTCTGGTCCACTTTGGGCTCAGGTCAGGCTAGGTTTACTAAATTATCGCCTAAATCAAATATTTTAAAGATTTTACAAATATGAAAATAAAATATGAGTCACATAAGCCATTTTCTAACTGAACAAATCAATGTATAAGGATATAATATTTGTCTGACATGATTTGCTAAATTCAAAGCTAAATCAGGAATATTAAGCATTTCGTAATATATCAAGATAATTTTGTGTTAAACTATGAGATTTCTGATCCGCCTTGGGTTCATGTCAGGCTAAATTTAAATGAAATCAATCAACTAAATCAAATATATTTAAAATTTTACAAGGGAATGTCACATTAAAATGTTTTTTAACGAAGTAATTTAATTTTTAATTTTCTTTAGCGAAATCTCTTGGTAGACGGAAAGATACCGGTCCGCAAGTTTTCGCTATTTTGCAATGAAGGAGCTTGAGGGATTCGGCTGATATAAAATTCAATCATATAGTGCTAGATTTGTTAAATAATAAGCTAGATCAATCATTTCTTCAAAACAACCCGAAGCTAATTTTTGTTAAACTGTGTGATTTCTAGGAAGATGGAAAAGTATCGACTCTGGTACGCACGATTTCGCTGTTTCGCAACGAACGGTTTGAGGTTTAGGAAACTTCGATCAAAGTTTGCTTCGGGCAATATGAAAATATTCAGGAATCCTAGGAATAATTTTGATGTTAACGGTACGATTAAATTCTAGGCAAATTTTACACATCTTTTGTAGCTGTTTGAGTCCAGTCAGGCCTGATTTCCTAAATTATGAGTCAAATGAAATATTTTTAGCATTTTACAAAATAATATCACAATTTAATTTGTACTAAATTGAATCCTTTAAGCAAAACAGCGAACACCTTACCTTTCCATCTGCCAAGAAATCTGACAATTTAACAAAAAATCATTTTTATATTAGTTGCTGAAATTGTTAAAATGTTTGATTTCGTTGATAATTTAGCAAATCATGTGAAATACATACCTGAAATCAAGAGGGGCAGAAATCTCGCAATATAAAACAGGTTATATTTGATATTATTTTGTGGAACCTAAACATATTTTTATCCCATAATTAGCGAATCTAGCTCTCTTTCGTCGAATATTATATTAACCGAATCTTCCAAAACCTTCGTTGCAAAATAGCGAAAACGTGACACTTTCCTAACTACATCTCATGGTTTAACACAAATTTACTTTGATATTAGTTTGTAAAATGATAAAAATATTCGATTTAGCTAATAATTTAGTAAATCTAGCCGGAATATAACCAAGGAGGACCAGAAATCTCACAATTTAACAATAATTTACGTTGATATTGGATTGTAAAATCTTTAAAATGTTTGATTTAGCCGATAACTTAGTAAATCCAGCTAGAAATGGCGAACCAAAAATCGCACAGTTTAACAAAAAATTAGCTTCATGTTGTTTTGAAAAAATGTTTTATCCTAATTCGATGATTCCAAATCCTCAACTTTCTTTTTTGACCAGAAATCTGACAACTAAACTCTGCATGATATTATTTTGTAGAAATGATTCACCTAACAAAAATTTAATTTTATATTAGTTTGTAAAATCGTAAAAATATTTTATTTAGCCAATAATTTAATAAATCTAACCGGAATATAACCAATAACCAAGGAGGACCAGAAATGTTACAATTTAGCAAAAATTTACTTTATCATTAGTAAGTAAAATCATTGAAATATTTGATTTAGCCAATAATTTAGTAAATTTAGCCAGAATGTAACCAAAGAGGACCAGAAATTTCACAATTTAACAAAAATTAGTTTGATGGTGTTTTGTAGAATTGTTTTATCTAGCCAACATTTAGCAAATCTACCTCTCTTTGATTGAATTTTATATTAGCCAAATCCTCAAGCTGCTTTTTTACAGAAAAGCGAGAACGTGCGGACCAGAGTTGATAACTTCCATCTCCAAGAAATTTCACAGTTTAACAAAAATTTACTTTGATAATAGTTTGTAAAATCGTAAAAATATTTGATTTAGCCAATAATTTAGTAAATCTAGCTAGAATGTAACCAAGGAGGACCAGAAATCTCACAATTTAACAATAATTTACTTTGATATTAGTTTGTAAAATGGTAAAAATGTTTGATTTAGCCAATAATTTAGTAAATCTAGCAGAATATAACCAATAACCAAAGAGGACCAGAAATGTTACAATTTAACAAAAATTTACTTTATCATTAGTTAGTAAAATCATTAAAATATTTGATTTAGCCATAATTTATTAAACCTAGCCAGAATGAATCCAAAGAGGACCAGAAATTTCACAATTTAACAAAAATTAGTTTGATGGTGTTTTGTAGAATTGTTTTATCTAGCCTACATTTAGCAAATCTAGCTCTCTTTGATTGAATTTTATATTAGCCAAATCCTCAAGCTGCTTTTTTACAGAAAAGCGAGAACGTGCGGACCAGAGTCGAAACCTTTCCATCTACCAAGAAATCTCACGGTTTAACAATAGTTTACTTTGATGTTAGTTTGTAAAATCTTTAAAATATTTGATTTAGCCAATAATTTAGTAAATCTAGCAGAGTATAACCAATAACCAAGGAGGACCAGAAATGTTACAATTTAACAAAAATTTACTTTATCATTAGTTAGTAAAATCATTAAAATATTTGATTTAGCCAATAATTTAGTAAATCTAGCAGAATATAACCAATAACCAAAGAGGACCAGAAATGTTACAATTTAACAATAATTTACTTTGATATTAGTTTGTAAAATGGTAAAAATGTTTGATTTAGCCAATAATTTAGTAAATCTAGCCGGAATATAACCAAAGAGGACCAGAAATCTCACAATTTAACAATAATTTACTTTGATATTTGTATGTAATATCTTTAAAATATTCGATTTAGCCGATAGTTTAGTAAATCTAGCTTGAAATGGCGGACCAAAAATCGCACAGCTTAACAAAAAATTAGCTTCAAGTTGTTTTGAATATTATATTATATTCACATGGAGTGCTTTAGTTAAGCTAGAGTTAAGCCATAAGATTATTATGGTAAATTATTTATTGGTTTATATGATTTATTGAGGATGAGTTTTCTAATAGTGTATTTGTATTTATGATAATGTTCTATATGAAAATAAAGACTTAAACCGCTCTTGTTGAACTTATTCATGATCTGTTCTCCTTTTTTCCCACATCGAGATAAAATTCCTCCCCCGCTTCACGGGTTCAACTATCCCCCGGGTCAACTGCACCTCTTCGGCAAATCGAAGCCAGACCTTAGGAGAGTAAAGGATCAAAGGTGACATATGGGAATCCTCCGGGATGTTTTCACACCGGATAGTATTCCAGGGACCCTTGTGCCGGAACTCCGTTCCCACACCGACGGATAACTCGGAATATTTCATTACAATCATTACACTTGTAAATCCTCGGATCCTTGCGTTTCACACAGCTCGGAGGTCCTTGGACCCAAAAAAAACCAAAAAAACGCCGTTTAAAAAAAATCAGAATTTTAACTTTATTGTTTTGTTTTTTTAATAAAAAAGGATATTTATTTATTTTTTTGATGTCGAGTTTTTAGTTTGGTAGGAATTAAAATTTAAGTTTATTTACATAAGGAGAGTGGAAAGGATGACAAGATGGGCACTGATTCACGATTTTCAGGTAGACGGGACGAGGACCACAGGAGCTTGGAGTTCGACTTAGCCACTCCCACTAACCGTATTACACGAAATACTATCCTTTTGAAAAACGTCCTTCGAATAAGTCGAGGAATTCATCAAAGACTTCATGACTTTAGTACAAATAGTATGTAATTTAAAATTACTAAAGCACTGCTTGACTTTTAACATCAAGGCTTTGTTTGTTTCTTTTTTTTTCCCCCTGCCACCCTTCATCATGTCGCATGATGCTACTGTGAAATTGAGAAAAATCTTTTCTTAAGGCGACGGATTGCCTTGAAAAAATGCCAAGATTTGCAAGCTGGAAAAAGTTGAAGTATCGAAAGCGAAACCGGATCTGTGGAACCTGCATTATTTCGTGGATGGAGGCTTTTATTAAAAGAAGTAAAAAGAAAAAGGAAAGAAAAGAACAAGAAGAAAGACTTTTATTTCTCTCTCCCCCCCTTTACACATACACATGAATCAGGATTTCTGCATTGCAAACAATTTTTAACACATCCGACATTGGTTTAACACATTTTTATACATCGGTTTGTTAAGCTTGAAAATGACTTAATCACTAAATTATTTAATGGTTTATATATTACTTCCTTTAATATTTGCAATATATTTAAAATATTTGATTTAGCCAATAATTTAGTAAATCTAGCTTGACATGTAGCCAAGGAGAACCAGAAATCTCACAGTTTAAGAAAAATTAACTTGATATGTTATTGCAAAATACTATAAATACTTGATTTATTATTAACGAAGTTTATGATCCTGATCAAACGTCTGACAAATATTATATTTTTATACAATGGTTTGTTAAGCTAGGAAATGACCTATATGGTAAATTATTTATTGGTTTATATTTTAATAAAAATGTAAAATATTTGATTTAGCCCATAATTTAATAAATCTAGCTTTACATGTAGCCAAGGAGGTCAGGATATCTAAAAGCCAAATTATTTAACAGTTTATATTTTATTTTAATATATGTAAAATCTTTAAAAAAATTCATTTAACAAATAATTTAGTAAATTTAGCCTAATCTTAAGCCAAGGGAAACCCAAAATCTTCTAGTTTAAGAAAAATTATCATATGTTGTGGCAAAATGATATAAATTCTTCATTTATTTAGATAAAAGCAGAAGAAAGATTTTTATTTCTCTTTCCCCCCCTTTACTCACCCACATGAATCAGGATTTCTGCATTGCAAACATTTTTTAACACATCCGACATTGGTTTAACACATTCTTATACATTGGTTTGCTAAGCTAGAATATGTCTTATGTGCGAAATTATTTATTGGTTTGTATGTTATTTTAATGTTTGCAAAATATTTAAAATATTTGATTTAGTCAATAATTTAGTAAATCTAGCCTGACCTGAAGCCAAGGGAAACCAGAAATTTGAATGTATAAGAAAAATTAGCCTTATATGTTATTGCAAAATACTATAAATACTTGATTTATTTAGTTACTACAGACAAAAAGAAAAGGCAAACGAAGTTTATGATCATGGTCAATCGTCTGACAAATAATTTTTATACATTGGTTTGTTAAGCTAGGAAATGACATATGGTAAATTATTTATTGGTTTATATTTTAATAAAAATGTAAAATATTTAATTTAGCCCATAGCTTGACATGTAGCCAAGGAGGACCAGAAATCTCATAGTATAAGAAAAATAACATTGCAAAATGCTATTAATACTTGATTTATTTAGATAAAAGCAGAAGAAAGAGTTTTATTTCTCTCTCCCCCTTTACACATACACAAGAAACAGGATTTCTGCATTGCAAACATTTTTTAACACATCTGATGTTAGTTTAACACATACATTATAAGAATACATTGGTTTGTTAAGCTAGAATCTGACCTATGTTGTAAATTATTTATAGGTTTATATTTTATTTTAATGTCTGTAAAATATTTAATTTAGCTGATAATTTAATAAATTCTAGCTTGACATGTAGTCAAGGAGGACCAAAAATCTCATAGTTTAAGAAATATAGCATGATGTTATTGCAAAATGCTATAAATACTACAATAAGAAAAGAACTAGAAAAAGATTTTTATTTCTCTATTCCCTCTTTACACATACACATGAATCAGGATTTCTGCATTGCAAACATTTTTTAACACATCCAACATTGGTTTAACACATTTTGTTAAGCTAGAAAATGACATGCGGAATTATTTATTGGTTTATATGTTATTTTAATGTTTGCAATATATTTAAAATATTTGATTTAGCCAATAATTTAGTTAATCTAGCCTGACCAGAAGCCAAGGGAAACAAGAAATCTCCATGTTTAAGAAAAATTAGCATATGTGGTGCTATAATATTGATGATTTATAAACATTGCTTAAATTTGTTGAAAACTTATATATAAAAAAATTTATACAATGCTAGAAATTCATTTTTTCACATCATACATGTATTTGTACAATTTAAAACAATGTTTATAAATCCGAGGCTCTGAAGATGATCTCAATAAAGCTCGAAACGTTGGCACGATAAAGAAAATGTTTTTCTAAATCTATGTCACACCAGACCGCATCTCACGATCTCTAAATAATCATTAACTAACGGTCACTAAACACCACATGTTATAATATTTTTGATTTTATTTATTTATTTATTTTTGATAATTTTTGATGCAATGCAATAATTTCTCAAAGTCAAAGTATATTGTGATTTTATTTTTACCCTTTATCCTGAAAAATTGGATAAAAATCATTATCCATTCCTATATTTTTATATGTAAAAAATTTTATGACCATTTTGAAAATCGGCGAAATACTGTATGCCATTGTGAAGCATATCGTAGATAATAATTTTGAGAATATCATTTTTCCTACGAAAGTGACAGCAATTAGTTCTGCAACATGTCCTCTTAATGCTAATTGCTACAATAGATTTATCCATTGCATAACATTGTGCATATAAAAATTACAAACTCAATTTCCTAACAAAAAAAAAATTATCTAGGCCAAATTAGTATGTTTTGAGAAGCTAGTTTTTACAAAAGCATTACTTAAAAAAAGACCTATTTTTTGCTAGTGTAATTTATAAGAAAAAAAATCTGTATTGATTGATTATAAATCAAAGAAGGCGGTTCTAAGGAGATTCTCTTTATTTTCTTATTCTATTTTATCAAGTAGAAAATGTCACATTTGCCAATCCTGACTGTCATTTGTAAAGACCTCTTGAACGAAACAGCCAAAACAAAATGTTTAAAACGTATCCCATTCTTTTAATATTGTTTATTAAGGAATCGGTTCAATTTGGAACAAATTTAACTCTGCCTTACCTCCTTAGTGATTATTTTCTATTAAAAAGTATTTACTCTTTGAAAATAAACCATTGTCATTCAAAACAAGGTAAATAATATTTTAATTTTTTCACCTTTAAACTATTTGGATTAAAAATAATTATTTTTCAGAAATAAACTCGATTCATAGACATTTCAAAGGGAGTGGAATCAAAGTAAAATGTGAAAATGTAAACAAGAACAATTGGATTCATACAGCAATGGCAGGAGGAGATTATAGTAAAATTGGAGTTTATTTGGACATGGATTGTTTAACTAATAAAACATACAATATTATTACAGTAACTATTATTTAATAATTTTAATTTTAATTTTATTTAAAGGCTGGACTGAAATGNATTATTTAAAAAAAAAAAACCAACTGCACTATAATGAACAAAGACTTCTGTATTGCTTGTGAAAAATAAAAAATTTTCAATTGAAAGCTACACAAAAAATGCACACTTTTGAATTGACTATTCACTACAAGTCAAAGTACCAACAAAGTCCTAACAAACCCTCAATTGACTACTACTCAAAGACCTAACTGTCCTTGAATTGATTATTACTATAAAGACAATTATACCAACAAAGCCATAACTATCAGTTGAGTGTTGCTACTACTACTACTACTACTACTACTACTACTACTACTATTACTATTTTTACTACTACTTCTACTTCAAAGACAACTGCACCAACAAACCCTACTACTGCTACTACAAAGACAACTGTACCAAAAAAGACCTAACTAACCCTCAATTAACTATATATTACAAAGACAATTGTACCAACAAAGACCTAACTAACTTTCAATTGACTAATTTTTACTAAATACAAAGGATACTGAACATACAGAGGGTAATTAATTGCGGTAACATCTCCCTGCCATTAATTTGTAAACATTTAACCTCAATAAATTTAAGAACAAGCCATCAATATTTTTATTTATTTATTTTGTTAATTTTTTTTTAGGATGAAATTAAAAATTATACTGGTTCAAATTATCATTGGTTGATAAAAATTGGAAACTGCAATGAGTCGTTTACATTTTTAAATGCTCTACCTTTAAATTGGGATAGTCAGTTCTCATTGTTGACGAGTGATGGAAAAATTTATCAGCTTCACAAAGAAGGCAAGTCGAAGTTGCTAAGCATGTCTAATACTGCCATTTGGAATAGTATTGAATTGAAAACCATTAAAACTGTAACAAAAGAAGATTTAAATGGTTTAGCTGTTAAAGGTTTTATTTCGGTAAAGTAACTAGTTGAAGTTGCTATCAAGACAGTTTTTAAGACGTTTTTGGTTCCAGGTGTACGCAGACCCTGGCGTATCAGGCATTCTCAATTATCTCAGGACTAAAACCAACGATCCAAGAGATAATCTGGCCAAGTTTTCATTTACGCTGCATGACATCCTAATAAAAAAATATAATGGGAAGTATGTACGAATTTTTTGTTTTTAATTTGCTATAAATTTGTCAATACTCTACTCTTTGTAGTAATAATCAAATACAGCCAATTCAGGAATAGTTAGGCATCTGAAATACTGTATTAAATATTAAAACTTTTGTGTTAATTAAACCCAGTCAGGTCTGCAAAGTAATGAACCTTGATTGCTCATTGGTATAGACCTTTGTTGGTTTTTGTAAGTCAATTCTGGGTTTGTTGTAATAGTCACTTGGGAATATTTATGGGCTTTGTTTGTGACAATGTTTTTTCAGGGACAAAGTTTTGAAAAATGTTCAACATGTAATTTAGACATTACTGGTTATTTGGTCTGTATTTCCTTGTTGGGTTTGTCTGCCAGAGGCTTTCCAGCATTTCGACATATTCAGTGTGGGTCTTGACACAAAGAAATCTCACAATATTTTCAACAACTGTAGAAAATACACTGACCAAAAACACAGACTGGGGATGAATTTTATGTTATTACACAATTATGACAAGCTTGATTATAATAATTTTAAAAAATCATATATTTATAATTTTTTATTCACAGGCTCAAGCTTTATTTGGCAAATCGTACAGAAACAGGTAAAATATACAAATTTATTAACGGAAGCTTGAGCTACTACTCAGGCGGTCAGTTTTACATGTTGGAGAAAGGCTTGGCCGATATTGGTCTGTACCCAGCAGAACCGTTATCAGCTGGCCTTGATAAAATGAGCATACTACCATCAATAACAACTTTCAGGTATTTTATCTTAAAATGCTTATAAAGTTGCCTGTTTTAATTTTTTTCCCATTTCAGGCAATGTTTCATATTTAAACATCCAAGGCGTTTTACAAAATTTATGGATATCCTTAGCCCATTTTCAAGCATCGTTTGGTCAGCTCTTATTGCGATATCAGTCTTGTTTGTCTGCCTGATGCGTTTAACTTTGTACCATGTTAACGACACGGAGTCTTCGACTGTGTTTCAAATTATTTTGGTCATCAGTTCGCTCACTCAACAAGGCTTGACGGATACGTGTGAACGTATGTCCAAGAAGATCATATACTTCAGCTTACTTATCTTAAGTACATTGACCTATGGATTTTACAATGCCTCATTTTTAATTCTAATGCTGTCACCACCGACAAAATATATAAATTCAATTGAAAAACTGTTAAACAACGATATACAACTCGGTGCAGAAGATGTTCCATTGAACAGATTTCAACTTATTGTAAGTACTGATGTGAACACAAAATAAAAAAAATTAAATTATCCATTTTTTTAGACAAATTACAACAATCTTGGTGAAAAATCACAATCTGCAAACTTCAGCAGACCAGAAATGTTTTACAGCCTGTTTGACGGTGTAAAGATGATGAGAGAAAAATCCTTCGCATTTTTCACTCATGATTCGAATATCCTTAGCTTAGTCGAGACAGAATTCAAGGAACAGGAAAAATGCAATTTGGCCGAAGTCGATGTGTTTAAACCTTTTGTCGTCTCGTCATTCATCAGGAAGAACCTTCCTTACAAAGAACTCTTCGCAAGAGGGTAATCGTGTTTATGTTCCATTCCGATAGAAATCTATTCTTCTAATCTTACTGGTAATTTTCAGAATACTCTTGTTGAAAGAAAGTGGAATCATTGCAAGAGAAAGCAGATTCTGGTTCAGAAAAAAAGCGCAGTGTTTTAGGTACGATGAATACATTGTTGCAGATTTCAAATCTGCTTATTTCGCATATGCTGTTTATTTTTTTGGAATATGCTGCTCAATTACACTCCTAGGACTTGAACTCCTGTATTTGAATAAATTAAAAAAAAAGAAATAGGTAACATCAATTCAAATCAAAGTGAAAAAGCAAATATAAATTTTTTTGTTATCTGTATCTGTAGTGCATATTAAATTAAATAATTTAGGAAATAATACAATAATTATAATTTAACTTACATAAGTTGAATTTAAATTGAATAAAATATTTGTTAAACCCTCAAATAAACAAAAATTCAATAATTGATCTCTCTTTTTATAGCTCTTCCTTTAGGACATAGTTATCCCATTTTTAACTGAAAATGTACAGCTAATTAGTATAATTAAAGAAGGAAAAATTGTTCTAATAATAGAAAAGAACTTAGTCATTTTTTTATACTTTATGACATTTTCTTTTCAGAATGAAATTACTTTTGAATACTCAAAGATAATGTGTGAAAATATGGTTTAGCCCAGAAGGGCACGGTTTTTATGTGAAGATTGGACATAAAATGCTAAAAATATTTGTCTAAAGATCTATTGTAAATTGTGTACAACTATCAATTTGTTGGTCTCAGTATCTTTGCAGGGCTAGTGAACAAGGAGTCGAGATTTAGTTTGTGGCTTTGTAGTAATAGTGAATAAAGAGTTTTGATTTTGTTTAGTCTGTCTGTATAGTAATAGTTAATAAAGCATTGAGACTTTGTAAGTATGACTTTGTAGTAATAAACAATAATGCGTTGGGATTTTATTGGTGTTTTTGTAGTAGTAATAGACTGTACTTAGTGGAAATTTTCTGGTGTGCCTTTGTAGTAATAGTCAATAAGGAGTTTGGATTTTGTTTGTGTCTTTGTAGTAATAGTCAATACAGAATTGGGGTTATGTTAGTGTGACTTTGTAGAGAGAGTGAATAAAGGGTTGAGATTTAGTTAGTGTGTCTTTGTGGTAATAGTCAATACAGAATTAGGATTTTGTTAATGTGTCTTTATGGGGATAGTGAATAAAAAGACAAAATTTAGTTAGTGTCTTACTAGTAATAGTCAATACAGAATTGGGGTTATGTTAGTGTGTCTTTGTAGAGATAGTGAATAAAGGGGTGAAGATTTAGTTAGTGTGTCTTTGTGGAAATAGTCAATATAGAATTAGATTTTGTTTATGTGTCTTTGTGGGGATAGTGAATAAAAAGTCAAAAATTTAGTTAGTGTTTATGAGGATAGTGAATAAAAAGACAAAATTTAGTTAATGTTTTTGTAGTAATAATGAATAGAGTTATTTAGTTAGTGTGTCTTTGTAGTAATAAGATGATGGGTAGGAAATAAATTGTCTTTTCCATAATAGGGATTTATTTTATCAGGTATGTTTCAGTCTAGTATAGACCATCTCAGTGACTTTTTCTGTATAAAGTGGTTTGAAGATTTTTTACATTATTATGAATTCAGATGTTGATATTAGGTTGACTTTGGACTTGGCAAGTAGTCTGTCAAGAATGAAGATAGTCTATATTAGACCGAAATATGTCTGACGAAATAAATGCCCATTGTGGAAAAGACAATTTATTTCCTACCTATCATCTTATGTAGTTCCAAAAAATCAGGATGGACACCACCAAAAAATTTATAGTAATAGTCAATAAGCATTGGAATTTTGTAGTAGTAATAGTCTGTACTGAGTGGGGATGATTTTGACATGTCTTTGTAGCAATAGCCAATAAAGATTTTGTGTTGTAATAAAGGTCAATAAGGATTTTGGATTTAGACAGTAAAAGATATCCAATTTTTTTAAGAACGTGTCTGAGTATTCTTCAAGCTTTCTCTAGTATTCAATAAAATTGTATGGGTCATGTGATACTTTTAGTCTCCTATGCATCAATTACATGTTGAGAAACAGACACCCCTTCATCAACAAGAGTGGTTTTATGCTGTTCAACTCTTTTTGGAGGTGTCGAACCCATCTCTTTATCATGTCCCATAAGATGTTCTAGTGGATTCACATCAAGAGAACATGCTGTTCAAAGTGATGGGTGACACCTTGAGCTACATTCAGTCAAGTATCATGGATTTACACGAAGTTGTACAATAAATGGAGGGAATGTGAGCACAGCTTTCAGAACTTCCTCAATGTAGTAAAGATGCAGTCTATATAATACGTTCTGTACAGACATGGACCGTCATTCTACTAATACCATAACTGTCTTTGAAAAGGCTGTGACTCATGCACGGTAAAAGAAGCAGAGCTGAAAGCGTTCTCCACATCACGATTGCCACAAACAAAACTGGAACAATCACCTTTCTACTCGATGCCTCAACGGCTATTCTCGTAAAGCCTTATAATTGTTTTAGAGCTCACCCTAATATTACGGACTGTTTGGAGTTGATTATCAAGTAAGTTGTTAAATGACGGTTCCGTAGTGCACTAATGGAAATAAAATGAGCTGTTGTACACCACGGTTGTCCACTTCTCTTCAAACAAAATGTCCTGTGGCCCTAAACCGCTGTAGACCGTAGTCGGTAAAGTTTGGTACATCAAACAATGGATGCTATGTCATTGGGTTTTGTTTGTTGGAAAGTTATATCATTAAATTGTTTTATACATTGACTTGACTTCACTAAGTCACTACTGGCTACTAAGGATTAAGTTTAAGGAAAGAAAAAAGACTCTTAAACGCCAGATTTAAATAAAGAAACTTTTATTATCACACCTTCAGAATGTTCTCAAATTTTGGGATTGAGCCCAACTGACAAACAAAAACCTAATGAAACGAAATTATATAAATTACAGACAACATTAATTATAATACACGGTACCAATAAATTTTCAATGCTGAATGTAATTCATCAATTCCCAATTCACTAAAAAAATTATTAAATAAAAAAGTAACAAATAAATTATAAATTTCTTAGTTAACAAAGTCTTTTATTTTTGTTTTTGTTTTTTAAATTAACTTTATAAACTGCGGAATGAACATTTTATGAAACAAGAAAAAACTCAAATTTTAAATTGAAAAAAAGGAACAAATTTCCTTCTCAGATGTATAGGTTTTTTGTTTTTAAATATATAAATACTGACTTAAAAATTAAGTATCACCAGTCAAAGAAATGTTCCACAGATTTACACAAAGGTTTTGCAGTCTTATAACTCATCTTTAAGATCGTCCTCCGATTGAGGACCGGCTCCAGGTGGCGGCGGAGCACCTCCTTGGTATAATTTTGAGATGATGGGCTGTACGACATCTTCGAGTTCTTTCTTTTGCTTCTTGAAGGCTTCACTGTCGGCGTCTTGGTTCTCGTCAAGCCACTTGATTTTCTCTTCGATGGCTTTTTCCATCTTGGCCTTGTCAGAATCCGTCACCTTCGATCCGAACTTGTCCTTGTCGGCGAGCTGGTTCTTGAGAGAATAGGCGTACGACTCCAGTTCGTTCCTGGCCTCGACGCGCTCCTTGAGCTTCTTGTCGTCATCAGCGAACTTCTCGGCGTCCTTGATCATCCTATCGATGTCGTCTGGAGTCAACCTGTTCTGGTCGTTTGTGATGACTATTTTCTCTCTGTTGCCCGTTCCCTTGTCCTCGGCGGACACCTGAAGGATACCGTTGGCATCGATCTCAAAAGTGACTTCAATCTGTGGCACTCCCCTTGGTGCAGGCGGTATTCCTGTCAAATCGAATTTTCCGAGCAAATGATTATCTTTGGTCATTGGCCTTTCTCCCTCATAAACCTAGAAAATGAAAAATTCATTGAATCAAAACGAAACCAGAAGTTTCTCTCTTCTTTCGGCAACTGAGCATTTTTTATGTTTTACCGCTTAAATTGTAGGATTTGTTGGAATAATTACCTGAATGGTGACAGTGTGTTGGTTGTCTGAAGCTGTCGAGAAGATCTGAGATTTTTTCGTCGGGATGACTGTGTTCCTTGGGATGAGTTTGGTCATGACACCACCGACTGTTTCGATTCCGAGGGTCAGAGGGTTGACATCAAGGAGGACGATTGAATCGGTGTCTTGTTCACCAGATAAAACTCCAGCTTGAACTGCTGCTCCATAAGCGACAGCTTCATCGGGGTTGATACCTCGGGATGGTTCTTTTCCGTTGAAAAACTCTTTGACGAGGGCCTGAACTTTTGGAATCCTGGTGCTGCCTCCTACTAAAACAATTTCATCGACGTCTTTCTTGTTCATGTCAGCATCTTCGAGGACCTTCTGAACGGGTTTCATGGTGGAACGGAAGAGGTCCATGTTGAGCTCTTCGAATTTTGCCCTAGTGAGAGTCTCAGAGAAGTCTTCACCGTCATAGAAGCTTTCAATTTCTATCCTGACCTGGTGGCTAGAAGACAGAGCCCTCTTTGCTTTTTCGACTTCCCTCCTGAGTTTCTGAACAGCCCTGTTGTCTTTCCTGATATCCTTGCCCTTCTTCTTCTTGTACAGTTTAATAAAGTGGTCCATAACCCTTTGATCAAAGTCCTCTCCTCCTAAGTGAGTATCACCGTTTGTAGAAACGACTTCGAAAACTCCGTTGTCGATGGTGAGAAGAGATACATCAAAAGTACCACCGCCGAGATCAAAAACGAGTACGTTCTTTTCTCCTTCTTTCTTGTCCAGTCCGTAAGCAATAGCTGCTGCGGTCGGTTCGTTGATGATCCTCATGACGTTGAGTCCTGAAATCGTTCCAGCATCTTTTGTTGCCTGCCTCTGGGCATCGTTGAAGTATGCGGGTACTGTGACTACGGCGTGGGTGACCTTCTTTCCCAAATATGCCTCTGCCGTCTCTTTCATTTTACCCAATACCATAGCGGAGATTTCTTCGGGTGCGAACATTTTGTTGCCCTGGGACGTGGAGACTTGAATGTGAGGCTTGCTATTTTTCTCCAAGACTTTGAATGGGAAGAACTTGATATCGTCTTGAACAGTGCTGTCCGTCCATTCTCGTCCGATAAGACGCTTAGCGTCGAAGACGGTGTTTTCAGGGTTGGTCGTCAACTGATTCTTGGCGGCATCTCCGATAAGACGCTCGCCTTCACTGGTGAAAGCGACGTATGAAGGTGTAATCCTGTTTCCTTGATCGTTGGCGATGATTTCAACTCTTCCATTCTTGTACACTCCCACACTGAATAAAAGAGCATTCAATTAACAATATATTTGATTAATAAAATATTTTAAGCAAATAAAAATGCAATAGTAACTTAAGTGCAAGAAGAAAATTTACATGGAAAAGATAAACTTAGCAATACCTACTGCTTTTATTGCATAATCAATTCCTAAGAATGAGCCAAGATTGAAAATTTCCTCATTTAAAATTTAATTTCATTATTGATGTACAATGCTAATGCAGAAGACATCTGCAGCATGCTTTTCAATTATTATTTTATTTTTTGAGAAAAATTGTTTAAATAATTTATTGAATTCATAGTTGTAGAATTTTTAAAAGAGATGGTTTTTTCTCAACCAAGACCTTACACATAGAAATAATAATTAATTGAAAGAACTAACTTGGTCAATTGACCACTAAAACGTAAATGAAGTATTTAAAAGTTTTCTTTTGCTCTTTTCTTGCATTATTCAAAATTCCTGTCCAAATCAAGAGAGAATTCACAGTGTAGTTTTATCAATGGGGAAAAGTAAAAATTCACTTCCAGACATCAAATGAAAATGATGAAATACCCTGAGAATCGAAACCCCATGAAAAATTCTGTCCTTATTTATTCAAGGAAAACAATTAAGGATTAATTATTATTTAACATTAACCAGTCCTTCTTAAGACCTACAGTGAAAACAAAAAACCAAAACATAAACTATGGCAAAAAGCAGGAAAAAAATATTCAGATATACAAAAATGAAGGACAATTAAACCGCCGACTACACTTTAGTTAGGAGAGTAAACAAAAACAATGGTGTATACACCTGGTCAAATCAACAAATAAAATGGTCCTGTCATTTGAATTTAAACATTGAACACTATAACAAGGAAATATAGAATGCAAAGGAGGCCAAATTTATTGTTAAAAATAAACAAATATGACCAAGAGTTTGTTTGGTCAACCTAATTATCTGCCTACTTGGGAGTTGATTTGCATAACACAAAATTCTAAACATACATAAATAAATGAAGCGTAATCTTTTTTAAAAATAATTATGGTGGTTGATCTCCAATTTATCAAATTCAACTTTTGCACTGCTTGGAACATAGATTGCTGGGGACATTTACTTAACTCGGCGAAAAAGGTCTTTAAAAAGTTTTAAAAATAAAATAATAAAGACAGACTAGCAAGAGGGTGTTGAAAATCAGCAATTCATCTTGGAAGTCAGGGTTTTGGGGGGGGGGAAATCACAGAATGACATTTTAATATTAAAATCAATTGTGATTTTCTTAAAAGAATTGGCAACCTTATTGATTAGAAAACCAAAATCTAAAATTCAGGAAGGTCGAGATTTTTGTTAAAATAAAGGTAACCAACGGCTATTAATGTGTGATGTATTTAGACCACCATCTCTAAATAATCAAAGGCTATTAACTTTTGTTAGTTTGTCTACTAAGTCTGTTGGACAACTGCTTGGGGATATTGAACTTAGAAGACAAATTGCTCGAGATATACACTTGATAAACTCTTCTGAACTTTAAACAGACAGACCAGAAACAATGGCGATTTTCGGCATATGATAACTTTCATGATACTCATTCACTGCTTACAACTTTTCAATCTGATTTTCAATATCAGCATAGCTGTGAATCATCCTTACTAAAATTTGTGAAGATATACGAGGAGGCATAGATGTTCACGAATGCACTCTGTTAGTGCTGACTTCTCTAATGCTTTTGGGATGGTCAACTCTTATTTGGAAACTTGAAAATTTGTTTTGTTTTTCTTCCTATAGCTCCAAATTAATTCACTCTTGTCAGATCGTAAACAAGTCGTCAAACTGCCTAATAACATCATCTGCCTTTCCTGTTGAGTCTGGCATTCCTCAAGGTGCAATTTTAATAGCCTTATTGTTTTCAATTTTTATTAACGACCTTTCCCTTCTTGTTTAAATTACTCCAAATATGCTGGCGATACCCAATGTCCTCCTAATTTAATTCCAGATTCCTTTCAACTCGTTAACAAAGACCTTTCTAGTTTGGTTAATTGGGCTTCAAACAATGGACTTAAACTCAACTCACTCAAATCTCAATCAATAATTATTTACCACATACATCTGCCAACTGAGGATTTTCCCTGAATTATCTTGATGGCTTTTTATAACACCCTTTCTAATCAGGTAAAATAACCTTGGCTTGACTTTTAATACCAGATTATCATGGTACGGATTATTTAGGCTTTGTTGCTAGAAGGGTGAATGGGACTTTAAATTCACTTTGGGAATAAAAATTTATCACTTATAACAAATAAGCCACATGGGTTGACACCACGAGGTGAACAGCCTTTACAAGAACGAGCGAAAAGTGGGCTGAGAGAAAGGAGGAGTGAGGAAGGTTTTTGTTTCATTGGTTGGATTTGTTTGTTTCAGGGTTTGGATTGTTCATTGGCTCTCACGTGGTGGTCAAAATTGAAGAAAGAAAAACATCTCAAAGAGAAAAATAACACTAAGAACGTTCATTTTTTTTTGTTTTTATTGATTTTTGTATAATCTTGGTTCCCCCCCCCCAGTAAAAAATTACTTAGTTGTTAACCCATTTTCAATTACCAAATTCCTTGTTCCAAGAAAGATCCATTACACTCTCCAACACTAAAACTTAAGACTAATCAAAACTCTTATTTTACCGTATTTTAGTTATTGCAATACTGTCTACTCTTTTTCACTTTATCACACTTCTACTTTAAAAAAATTTAATTTAATTTTTAAAAAAATTAATAATTGCACAAGATTTGTATTAAGTTTTCAAAGAAGGGAGCACATCTCAAAACATGACATGTTTATTCTACGTATTAATTTATTTGATTATCTTAAACTCTGATCTCTTATTTACTTATTTAAAATTAAGAATAAGCTATGCGTATCATTTTGAAAAATCATAATTCATATTGAATTCATTATATTCCATTTTAATTCTACTATTAATTTAAAGAAATATAAAAAGCCTGCAATCATTCATAGATCCAAATCTACACTTCTGATTTAAAAGAATCGGCGCCCTTATGGGCTAAAAAACCGAGGGGGGGTCTCTTCTAAAATTCAGGAAATGTGAAGATTATTTATAAGAAAGGTGAATAAAATTTATTCAGTTTTGTCGGTTGGTCTGCTAGATCTGTTTGACTATATTTTGGAGTTTGAACTTATGAAGCAAATTGAGGATGACGATTTCGCTCATTTGACCTTTCAAAAATAAAGATTTTAAAAAATATACAAGAGACAGACCAGAATCAATACTTTTTCTCTGGCTTTTGAAACAACGATGTTTACTTAAAATCAAGAAATGACATTTTTCCATCAAAATCATTTGTGATTTAGAAGATGTGGTGTTCCTATGGACCAGAAAAACGAGGGTATCGTCTAAAATTCAGGTAATATCACAATTATTTATAAAAAAAGGAGAACAAGATTTATTATTAAGTTTTTTCAAAAATTAATCAAGATCAGATCTAGTATATCTGATGAACTCTTAATAGTTTTATTTTTATTTTGGACTTATAAATCAAAACAAAATGAAAATAATTAATACTTCTTTAGCTTTTGAAACAAGACTACTTAACTAGAGAATGACATTCTCTGACAAAATCACTTCTGATTTGGAAGAATTGGTGTTCTTAAAGACTAGATAATCAAAGGTAATGTCCAAAATTCAGGCAATATCATGGTTATTTATAAGAAAAGTAAAGTAAATTTTTGAGGATATCCACTTAGCATGGGCCAGTTTTGTTTGGACTTTAAAAAATAAAATAAAAACAGTTACAAAAGACAGATCAGAAACAAAATAAAAATAATTAATACTTTTTCTTTGAGTTTTGAAACATCGATGTTTACTTAAAATCAAGAAATGATATTTTATCATCAAAATCATTTGTGGTTTAGAAGAAGTGATGTTCTTATGGACCAGAAAACCAAAGGTATTGTCCAACACTCAGGAAATATCATGGTTATTTATAAGAAAGGTGAGGGGGAAAACAGCTATAAAATACAGATCAGAAACAAAGAAAATAATACTTTTTCTCTGACTTTTGAAACAACGATGTTACTTAAAATCAAGAAACGACATTTTATGATCAAAATCATTTGTGGTTTAGAAGAATAGGTGTGTATTGTAAAAAAATTCAAGAAATATCGAGATTATGTATAAAAAAGTGAAGTAAATTTTTGAGGATATCTTCTTACCACGGCCAATCTCGTCTGAACTTTAAAAAATAAAGAAAAAACAGCTACAAAAGGCAGATCAGAAACAAAATGAAAATCAATCAATAGCTTTTCTTTGGCTTTTGAAACAAGACTGTTTTCTCAAAATGAAGAAATGACAATTAACCATCAAAATCATTTGTGTTTTAGAAATACTTGTTATTGACAAATAACGATAAAGTCTTTTAAAATTCGATTGTGAATAGTTTTGTTCAAAATATAAATAATTTTTTTGACGATGTAGTTTTTGGACCTCCCCCTCCCACCATCTAGATTCTAGAATGTTCGGGATTCTTCCAATTCTATTCTTTTTCTTTCTTTATCCACCGCGGTTCAAGTTAAAAGGAAATTCGATTAAAAACTTTAAATGTGAAAATAATCTTAAAGTTAGAATTCTCATTTAAAGCTGTAAGGCGTGAAAGGGCCACGTCATTCCCCCAAAACCGCAGACCGACACAGCGGTACAATCGACCGGAGCGGCGTGCGGAAAAGCCGGCTTTCCCCACATTTTCCAGTCAGATTTTCACAACAAATAAAATTTTTAAAAAGTTATGGATGTATGTGAGTAGAAAATAAAAAAAATTAAAAATCTACTTACCAAGAGTAAGTCGTGCCGAGGTCAATGCCCACGACGGTTCCGACGTCCTTATTCTTCTCGTCGGCTGCTAAGGCCGAAGCGAAAAGCAAAACGAGAAAATGTAAAATCATTATTGTGAAAATCTCCTGGAAAAGAAATGAAAAATCATTTAAACGTTTTCTATTTGATTGAGGAAATGAGACATTTTCTTAGAATTATAGAGAAAAAACCATTTACTCACTGAATTATTCCGGTTTGATTTTTGATACAACTGACTCGAAAATATAAAAAAATATACCCTTCTCTCTTTTTTTGTTTTCAACTAGATCAAAATTAAGAATAAGACACTATGTTTAATTCGCGTTTTTTCGTCCGCTTTGTACTCGAATCAAGTCCTAGGTTCGACTGAACGGACGAACGGCCGCGGCTGTGGAATAAGAATGGGGTTGGGTGACGGGGAGAAGTCGGGAATCGTGGACGGCGTTGATTGGTCCGGCTGACTGACAATACGTTCCGAAACGCGATTGGGCGCCGGCTTAAAGGCGCGCCAAATCGAAAATATTTAAATTTCCAACAAAAAATAAACCTAAAAAGTACAACTTTCAACCAAAAAGGACTTCATGAAATGAAGTTTGATTTATTCGGGCAAAAGCAACAAACTTAAATCTGAAAAACTTGATTGCGTAACGTAGCGTCGTTCGGTGAAGAATGCGATTTATAATCAAAACACTATTGCTTACTCAAAGAAAAAACTAAAACTTTACAAAACCAAGAGGAGCTTTTTAAATATCCTCATTCCTCACTCATCATTCATCAGGTATCGAAATAATATTAGGTTTTGTAAATATACCAATTTGTATATATTATTCCCTATTTGGAGACATCTTCAGGAGTATGACATCATCTATCATCATATAATCCAAATTGGTTTTACGTTGACAGTTCATTTTTTAATGTGATATTAACTGGGGCTAGTAAATATACTACCTAAAGATTTTAATTACTTTTGAATTTGTTGAGTAAGATTTCCTCTTTCTCTCATTGGTTTGATTTTTTTTTTTTTTTTTTTTGGCTACCACATGCCTGGAATTTGTTAGTTTGGTAGGGTTGAGCTTTAGCTTTTTTTCCTGGTGAATGGCACAAGTGATGCCTTTGTGGAGTTTAAATTCACCACAATTTCTGCGTTATCTTTAAGGTGTTTTACAATTCTGCGTACCCTTGTACGTCAACGTTCATTTCACCTGCAATAGGTCGTCTACTACCAGAGACCAATAAAGTTGGTCATGATATTCCTCCTTGGGAGTAGCCTCTGTGTTGTATATTTTTTGCCCCCTCCCACCAAAGTTTTAACCATGTTTTTGATACTAATCGGATATATAATCAGACATAACGGTAGAATTAGCTAAGTAGGCCGTTCGTGACTCGTTAATTCTGGTTCATTTTAGGCGGTATAGTTTTAAAATTTCTCAACGTCGATTCTGTAAGTCGCTAGCGGATAAGGAAACGATCCATAACAGACGGGGTCAAATGGAGGTTGCACTGTTCAAGGTTATATTATTGACTATACAGTCATTCCAGTTAGGTTGTTTAGGAAATTTAGACTAATATTATTATTTTCGTTGTTAACACTATTTTTAAAAAACTTTCGCCGCGATGTCCGTCTGCAAGTTCAACGGCAAGCTGTCGAACGTCGAGGGCAAGTCGCCTTTTCTGATAGGAGTCGCTGGAGGCACGGCGAGTGGAAAGGTGAGCCGATTTTACCAATTTTTTATTTTTTTTTCTTATTTTAAAAAACTTATCGACTTCCGAGGACTTCGACACTAACAAATCGACTTACGTGGCTTACTTTCTTCGAAGTCATACCGCCCTTACGATAGGGCCACGTGTTTGTCTCAAATAAACTAACGTGTACCTACGAAAAAAGGACACATCATGATTCTCACATTTGACCTATTTTCCTAAACAGTAAAGAAAATAAGAAATTATTCGTAACAAACTTAAAGAAAAAATGATATTGCATCTGTGATGAAATTGTGAATTAGCAACATACTTTAATAACTATTAAATCAAAGATGGATGGAGGTGTTCGAAGCAGTGTCTTTGTTGTAATAGTTATTAATTCAGAGTTAATTAAGATAATTGTTGGAAGCCGTTTTTTATCTTCTTGTTTATTGCTGTGTCTATGTAATAATAGCCAATTCAGAGTTAGTTAGATTTTTGTTGGAACCCGTGTTTTTTGTATTTATATTGATTTCAGTGTCTTTGTAGTAATAGTTAATTCAAAGGTAGTTATTATCTTGGTTGCAAGTCATATTTTTTGTACTTTTGACCATTGCAGTGTCTTTGTAGTAATAGCCAATTAAGAGGCAGTATTCATCTTTATAGAAAGCCATGTTTTTTGCACTTTTCTCCATTGCAGTGTCGTAATAATAGTCAATTCTGATTTAGATCTTTGTTGAAATCCATGTGTTTTGTACTTTTGACCATTGCATTGTCTTTTATTAATATTTAATTCATAGTTAGATTTTTGATGGAACCCACTTTTCTTTTGTTATTTTGTCCATTGCAGTGTCTTTGTACTAATAGCCAATTAAGAGGCAGTATTCATCTTTATAGAAAGCCATGTTTTTTGCACTTTTCTCCATTGCAGTGTCGTAATAATAGTCAATTCATAGTTAGATTTTCGTTGGAAAGCACTTTTTTTTGTTATTTTGACCATTGCAGGGTCTTTGTACTAATAGTCAATTCTGAGTTAGATCTTTGTTGAAAGCCATGTTTTTTGTACTTGTGATCATTGCAGTGTCTTTTTATTAATATTCAATTGATAGTTAGATTTTTGTTGGAACCCACTTTTTTTAAATGTTATTTTGATCATTGCAGTGTCTTTCTAATAACAGTCAATTCAGAGGCAGTATTCATCTTTATAGAAAGCCATATTTTTTGCACTTTTCTCCATTGCAGTGTCATAATAATAGTCAATTCTGATTTAGGTCTTTGTTGAAAGCCATGTTTTTTGTACTTGTGATCATTGCAGTGTCTTTTTATTAATATTCAATTCATAGTTAGATTTTTGTTGGAACCCATTTTTTTTTTTTGACCATTGCAGTGTCTTTGTAATAATAGTCAATTCTGAGTTAGATCTTTGTTGAATGCTATGTTTTTTGTACTTTTGAACATTGCAGTGACTTTGTAGTAATAGTCTATTAGTTAGATTTAGAGTTAGTTAAATTTTTATCGGTACCAATATTTTTGTACTTGACCATTGCAATTAACTTTGTAATTATAGTCAATTCAGAGTTAATTAGATCTTTCTTGGAAATTATGTTTTGTGTAGTAATGTTCATTACAATATCTCTGTAGTAATAGTCAATTCAGAAGGAGTTCAACATTTGTTGGAAGACATGTTTTTGTAATAAATAAGTAAATTCATGGGTTGTACAGTAATTTTTGTAATATTGTTGTATTCAGAGCAATTGACATCTATATTGCTAATTTTGTGGTAATTGTCCATTCTGCGATATTTAGATCTATGTTGGAAACCAAGTTTTTTGTTAATTGCAGTGTCTTTGTAGTATTTGATTCAGGGGTATTTAATTTTTGTCAGTAAATTTAATACTGACTGAAATAATAGTTAATATTTAAAAAAATGTTTTATATCTTACCAAACTTTTTCAATTTATTTTTCTTAGATTTTTTTTTAACTTGAAGCAAATTTATTTTTCTTATGTATAATATATATATTTGGTTCAGTCGACAGTATGCAAGAGGATAATGGAAAAGTTGGGCCAAGTGGATGTTGATCATGCAGAGCGGAAGGTCGTTACAATCAGCCAAGACTGCTTCTACAGGGAGTTAAGCTCTGCCGAAAAGGTGAAAGCTCTCAAGGGCCAGTATAACTTCGACCATCCAGGTTTGTACATTTTTACATTTTATCCTTGCCTTGTTATAAAAAATATATGTACATATGTTTCTTTTTTGGGATAGATGCTTTCAACGAGACCCTTATTTACAACACCCTCACTGACATCCTCGCCGGGAAGAAAGTGACCATCCCTTCATATGATTACATCACCAATTCAAGGTGAGTTTGAATTGTCGGTGGTTGCTTCACCCCTCAGTGTCAACTGAGATTACAAATATTTGTTTTGTTGTTTTATTTCTTCTGGCTCTTTATAAACAAACAATAAATGTGCTGTGCTCTCATTTTCGAGTCAATGCCATTCAAAAATTTTTTAATGCGATTTGTCATTTTCATTTACTATTACCGTAAAGATGATGAAACTAATACTAATTTACTGTTAATAGAGATACCTTTTCCTTAACCAAGGGGAGTTTCCAATTATATAAAATCCTGAATTGCTGACTATTACTGGATTTATTTAAAAATGGATTTGTCAAATCCAGGTCAGATGTAATGCAGACGATTTACCCTGCTGACGTTGTCCTCTTTGAAGGCATACTAGTATTCTACTTCCCTGAGATACGCAACCTGTTTCACATGAAGCTCTTTGTTGACACAGACTCAGACACGAGGCTTGCACGTAGAGGTGTCGGCATTCCCATTTTCCCCGTCCATTCAGTTTTTAACTAAAGCCATTGGTTTTTTTAGTTCCGAGGGATATCAATGAACGTGGAAGGGACCTCGAGCAAGTACTCAACCAGTACATGAACTACGTGAAGCCGGCCTTCGAGGAGTTCTGCCTTCCGGTAAATAAAAGTTTAGATAATCAATTTTAAATAATGATATGAACAATTTTATTTCCAATTTCTATTTGTTGTGGCTTTTTTTCCCTGTAGACAAAGAAGCATGCTGACGTTATAATACCAAGGGGAGCTGACAATATTGGTATGTATAAATAAAAACCATAATCAACTTTATTATCATTTTTTTGCATGTTTTCTTAAGAAAAAAATAATTAACCAAAATTATGTGGAAAAAGGGCAAAATTACTATTTTTATTTTGTGTTGTTTGTGAATCACAGTTTACATTGGTTTCAGCAAAATTTGTTTTATATCACCATTTTTTTTTAAATACAAAATATAATTATCTACATTCGTTTATTGTAATTTATGTGAATGATTGTATATTTTGTAAGTTTGTTTTGTATTATGTATGTATTGAACACTTTTTAATTGTTGAAAAATGAAATTTATGTACAGAATGAAATTAGTGAAATGATCTCCAATAATAATTAAAATAAAATGAATAAATAAAATTGAAACTCAGTAAAATATATCGAAGTAGGCTATCTGCCTCAAATACATACACATTTTTATGTCGATGTCTAAAACACTTTAACACAATTGATTTAATTCAATTAAATTCCTCTGGATCATTTTCTAAAATATCAAGCATATGTTAAGTAATACATTGCCGACATAAAAGCAATGTTTGAAAAATTTTAATGGTTGCCATGAATATATACTCAAGAAAAAAATTGACTATAAACAAAGATTTGTCTTAACAGTGAAAACCAGTTTAAAATTAATTGTTCTCACTGAAGCAATTTTGAAAATAATCCATAAACTCACAATCAGTAAAATGATTATCAAATCGAAAATCTAACTCTCTCCGTTTTACTTTTAAGTTGAAATTGATATTTAAAATTTAACGTGAATTCAACCTGTCAAAAATTGGATGTTACAACAAAAATCAAACAGGAACCAATGCGTGAACTGAAATACTGTTATGTAGAAGTTTGATTGTTTATGGTTGTTCTTGTACATGTACTCTTGTTACATGATTTTCTCAGACTTCATCGAAATCACAACATTTTAAATTTACATATTTTTTATCACAAAGGAAAAACTGATTGATCAATGACATCTCTTGTACAAAGAAACACATTATTGACTCAGCAACTAGCAAACTGTCACCATTATGAACTATCTTCAAAAACAAAACCACCAACATATATTACTAATAAAGAATCACCATAATTAATTATTCCTTCAAAAACACCACCATGGATTACTACAAAGAAACTGCCACTATTGACAATCATTAGCTACCAAGAATCACCACAATTGACTATTATTACAAAGAATTTACGACTATTGACTATTGCTACAAAGAAACTGTGTCCACTAGCTATTATTACAAAGAAACTGCCAATATTGACTATTATTATAAACAATCAGTGCTGTAAACTATTGCTAGCTACCAAGAATCCCCACCATTGATTAACATTATAAAGCAACTACCACCATTGACTATTACTACAAAGAAACTACCACTATTGACAATTGTTAGCTATCAACAATCATCACCATTGACCCATATTACAAAGCAACTACCACCATAGACTATTACTTTAAAAAAAACTCTACGCTGATCATTCTTACAAAGAAACTGCCACTTTTGATTTCTGTTAGCTACCAAGAATCACCACCTTTGACTATTATTATGGAACAACTGGCACAATTGATTATTGCTACAAAGAAACTCTTCATTGACTATTATTACAGTATGTAGACTCTAACATAGACAGTTATATACAGTTTTTTAGAGGAGAACTGGTTAAAAACAATATATATATATATATAATTTTTTTTTTCAATTTAAAACAAAGTAATAAAATAAAATCAGTCAAACGATGATGATTAGGTGTGAAAAGTGCAGAAATATTTATAATTCAGTTATATAAATAATGTCTGGCCCAATTGTGTCTACACCGTTTCTAGCTTGAAAACAAGGATAAAACAGTTTGTTATTTTTTACTTGTTTGTCTTCTAATAGTATAATAATTTGCTGATCAATGTTTATTGTAAAATGTTATTAGGTAAAATAAATTTGGGCTGTAATTCGGGTTGAAAGGTTTGATTTTTACCAAGATTTTGATGATAGGTCTTTTTGCATGTGCATTAGAAATTCATGATGCTTAAACAATTTATTGGTAAATGGTTCAGTAATTTGTTTCTATTTATTATGATATTACTTTCAGTTCTTTAGCACATAAAATTAAGGAAAATTGTAATGTACAGTTTTGTTATTCTGGGCAATTTGTTGAATTGTACGTATACAAAAATCAAATTTTAACCATAACATTAATAAATTTGTTGTCTGACACTAATCTACGTAAGACGCATTAGTCTTAATAATTCCATGTTGAAAATAAAACCACTTTAATGTTAATACATTTCAAATGTCATTTTTCTTAATTTTATGTTTTACTCAAGCTTATGGCAAATAACAGAAAAAATTTGGTTTTCGCTTTGGGAAAAAGGAAGAAGGAAATTTAAACTTTTTTTGTATCCAAAAATAAAATTGGGAATGATTTTTTTCTACTTGTGGTTAGGGAGGTCATTTTGGTTTTTTTCACGAGGTGTCTGAAATTGGAAAGAAAAATTATAATTTCGGATTTCTAGAAACTAGTTTTTTAAATGGATATAATTATTTTTGATCAGATTAATTGCAATACAAATTAAATAATTTTTATGGAATTACTAAGAAAAAGTTTTAAAATTAAAAATAAAATAAATAAAACATGCTGAGCATTGATTTAATGTTGGGAAAATTTATTTATTTTATACTTTCGTTATTTACTAGCGCTTTCAAGATTTATAGAGATTTAAGTGTGAACCAGAAGAGTTTGTCATTAATTATTTTTGAACTGTGAGAAAAGGAAGAGAATTGCAAGTAATGAAGTTTAAACGTGTAAAAGAAACCAGAGGATTATGCCCATGGTAAATATTTATATGCTGATAATTAAGAAACTAGTTGATTCCACTTTTTTAAAATTTTTGCTTTAAAAAAAAAAAAAATCAGTCTCAAGTTTGTTCTCAGATTTTAATTCTTATCGACAAACTCGAGTATATGTTTTAATTAGTTGGTTTGGTTCCAGTTGCAATAGATTTGATAGTGTACCACATCTGGGATATACTGCACGGTCCTCAACTACCATTGGCCAAGGTGCCGAGAATGAACCACAGGCTCAATTCGTGTCTGGATAGCGTTAGCCGCTGACGCCCGACCCGTTAAATTCGAAGGAGAATTCGACAAGGGCCTGGGACCGAATTTTCAACGCAATTATACTTTAATCAAACTTCTTCTTAATGTTTTCTCATAATTTCTTTTATTTATTATTGTTTAGAGAAGTAAAAATAATCATGGCTTTTAAACGCACATTTGCAGATTTTTTAAACCCTGTTGTTACAATTACATCCATAGAAAATTGTAGCTTTTTTTCTGTCACCGTGTAATATTTACATTGTTTTTTATTTTTGTAATGATTTTTTTTTTTTCAACATTCCCCTCATACAAAATTGCCTAGTGATAGATAATTATTACATTTTTTCTGAAAAACTTGTATACGTACAATTGTTAAATGTACGCTTAGATGAATTTAATTTTTTTAAATTTGTTATAAGGATTTGTAACAATAACTGGTACCTGATGGAATTTGGCAAATTCAGTGTAATAGCAATATGTATTAATACTTTAAAAAAGAGGGTTTTTTAAATAAATAAGTCTTATGATTCTTCAAATATTAAACAAAACTTCTGATTAGCGTTAATGTTCTAGCCATTTAATGAATTTTTCTAATGACCAGTAAAATATTGAAGAAAAATAGTAGAATAATTTAAAATAATATATTATCTTGTATAGAAAAAAGAAAATAAGGTTGTGTAAATTCATGTAAAATTTTCAAGTTTCCAAAAGTTAAATTTTAGTTTTAAATTGTAGTCATAGTTGGAATATTTGTGAGCGATCACACTTGATCACCCAGGCATGACCGTTACCGGTTTTGTCATTGAAAAATAAAACAGAAAAAAAGATCAGGGACGATCAAATTGTATGCAGATGTTACAACTTGCTAGTAAATTCTGATTATGACTTGTTTTTTGTTAAATGTTGTGTTTACATATAAGTCTTTAATACCAAAATTTTTGTTTTTTGTTTTGTTTTCATTTTTCAACAGATTCATCACTTAATAATTAATATTAAAAGTAATGAAGATTGTAGATTGTTAATGAATTAGTTTGTAAGTTTATACAGCACGAAAATGCGCAAAATAATTCACCTGTGATTTTCAAATGTTTTTTCTTATTCATATTTTGTATTTGATTTAAAGACTGATTCTTGGCGGACCTCAGTTCAAAAATTCTTTGTTAAAAAAATTTAGAAATTTATTATTAAACGAAAAAAAAAAAATCATGTTAATATGAGCCAAAGTGGAATAAAAAGTCCCTCACACAAATGTTTACAAAGGATTTTAGGGTTCATAATTAAGATTATATGAAAAGGGTTCTTTGTAATAACCACAGGAAAAAAACCCATTGAATTTTGTTATATTTTGTATTTTTATAACTTTTAAGTGATTTACTAATAAAACATTGATCAAGTAATTAATACTGTTTTGTTTAGAATTACTGAAAGTAAATATATATATATAACATTATTCTTAAAAAAAAAAACACATTTATTTATTTAAAGAATTATATTTCATAACGATTTAAAGAAATACCACGAAATAAGTAATTTTGCTCTTGTTTCCCTTTCCTTTTTATTGTCACACTCAACAAATTTAAACCGACCCGACAAAGGATATGAAAATATTTTTTTTAACTCGTATTTGTGTGATTTCAGTTGCAATCGAACTGATTGTCCAGCACATCCGTGACTTTCTGAATAATAGGGCAATGAATAGCTCGCCTTTGCACGCCGCGAGGCGGAACGTGTCTGGCGACGGTCCTCACCGCCTACACTAGTCGCAAACCAGGTGGAAAAACAAGATACCGATATAAAGAGAGAGAGAGATTTACCATTTCATTCTTTTGCCAAAGTGCCTAGTCAGTGGCGCACAGGTCATCCCTGAGAGCACAATATTTTTAAGTTCGATTTTTTTCTTTTAAAATATATAAAATACAAATTGTTTATTATAATCTTTTTTATTTTAGACAAAAAGATCATGTGATTGTTTAAATAAATAATTTTTTTAAAAATAAAATAAAACAAAAAATGTCATAAAATTTAAACTCCTCTTATATAGTGAAAATTAAACTTAATTTTTCATAATAAATTGTAGTACCTTAATTTTTTTCTTCAGCAAAACAAGTTCTCATATTATCAAACATAATAATATTAAAAACAGGACACCTATAAGTTTTTCTAATAGAACAACTAATTGTTCAACAATATAAAAAATAATCACCACACAAATATAAAAAGTCATAAATTATTCTAATGTTAGTCTAGGGCAAAGCAAAAGCGAACTTTTTTTTTTTTGGGGGGGGGGTAAATGTGGGATAATACATATTATCAAATGATTTTAATTTCTTTAGTTGTACACTAATTTCTTCAGGCTCTCATATAAAAATTATATTTTAGGCGCAAGAGTCCCTAATTTGTGCATATTGTCATTTTTTGTTGAGGTAAACCCAGCACAGTCTTCCACAGAGTTATTAATTAGAAAAACTAGCTATTAATAATTTTAACTGTATAATTTGTTCGCTGTGTTGTAAAAAGTGATAAAATGGATTTAAATCTCTTTTTTATGCCAATTATGTAAACATGTCCTAAACTTTGATCTTGGGTTTTGCAAATTTTTTTGACAATCTGATTTAAAATCTCATTAAATTCCACTTTTTATGCTAAAAACAACGTGGAAAAATACACTTGTTACACTAAACCTCATATAAAACCCAACTTAGTCTAACCTCTTATTTAAACCCCAAACTTTATACTAAAACCCATTTGTTATCCTTAATCTCTTGTAAAAACGCACATTTTTGGTTAGGACCTCATTTAAAAGCCTGCTTTTTAGGTTGAAACAAAGTTTTAGTTTCAGAAATTATTTAAAACCTTTTTAGGATAAAATTCCGTGTCTGAAAGATCAAGCCAGCGATGTTAGGCAAACAAAAATGATTACGACCAAATTACATAACTAATTGTTCTATGATCGCATATATCATATCAGCTATAATTAACATCTGATTGTAAATTATAGAATCCAAACCCGGTACTACTTTTAGCCAAAAACCTCATGTAAAACTCACTTTTTAGTCTTTTAACACCCTTTGAAAACCCCAAATTTTTAGGATAGAATGTCGTGTAAAATCCTACTTAGGTTTTTTTGTGCCTAAAATCTGATGTAAAACCTTATTTTTAGATTAAAAATGCCATGCTTTTAGTTTACATCTCGTGTAGAACCTACTTTTGTTGCTCAAAACTCAACCTTTCTTAAACCAAAAGTTTATTTTAGGACTTTTTTTTAAACTAAAATTATTTCTTGTGAAAGTTAATGAATATAGAGTACAATATTATCAAAATATAATTATAACATTATTTAATATATATTTGAAAAGTTTTTTTTTCATGCTTTCACAAGAGCAACAATGGTTATATAAAGTACCTATTTTTAATTTAAAACATGTTAAAAGTGAATGACAATTTATAAATATAAAAATGATTTAATATATTATATAAAGTTATATATATTTGATAACAAGTAGAAGGTATAAGGAGAAAGAGAAAAAAAAGTGTTATAAGGTGGTTTTTATTTATTTACAATTCAACACCTATCACATTACATTAGAAAAATAATCAAATAATTTAAAATGGTGAAAAAACATAAGCCAATGACAAATCAGGCCTGATTATAATTATGAATATATCATGGTGAATGAGGAAAATATGTCACTGTCAATCATGGCCCAACTGGGTAGTAGCCGTTTATTGGTAGTAGAGTTCCAAATTCATGCCATCGTGAATTTCGTCTATTGCTTAGCATTAAGGAATATCTTGAATTGTTTTAGACTTATTATTAAAAAAAAAAATTAACTATATTTTGAATGACAAGCCATAAAAATTGATATCTAGATCTGGATGTTCATCTTTTGCAATAATAAACGTAAAACTTACTTTTTAACATAGAACCTAATTATTCTTTTTATGTAAGGTCCTGGTTGAGACGAAAAAGTATCACAAGAAGGATTTCAACCCACGACCTTCGGCTCAATGACTCGTCACGACAGCTCAAGCGGTGTATTGAGCCGAAGTTCATGGGTTCGAATCCCGTTCACTGTTTGCTGTTGCTCACACTAACTTTTTCATCTCAACCAGTACCTTTGATGATTAATTAATTGAAAGAAGTAATTTGGTAAATTAGACCACTAAACATAATGGATTTAATAAAACTTAATGAAAGTCCCTTTTATAAAAAACTTTTTGGTTTAAAAATTTATGCAATACAATAAAAAAAAAAAAAAAAAAAAAAAAAAAAAAAAAAAAAAAAAAAAAAAAACTAACTGAATTTAGAGACATTCTGTGCATATACTATGTTACTTTTTAATTTCAAAATTTGTGATCCCGCTTTTTAGGTTAAATGTACAAGGGGACCAAGTTTCATTTTAGGCTTAACTTCATATAACTCAGTCGGACACCCAATTTTTAGCTTAAACCTTATGTAAAACCTACTTTTTAGTATAACATTTCTTATGTAAGAACCCGATTTTTAGCCTAAAACCTAATGTAAACCCAAATCTTTCGACTAAAACCTCAGGTAACTCCATCTTTTTAGCCAAAAACATCATGCACTACCTACTTTTCAGTCTTAACTTTTTATGTAAAACATAATTTTTAGCCTAAAACCATATGTAAATCCTGGTGTTTAGTCTATACATTTTATGTAAAACCCAATTTTTAGTCTAAAACCTTATGTAAAACCCATTTTTTTAGCCTTATGTAAATCCCAATTTGTCGTTTTAAACCGTACATTAAACACACCTTTTAATTAAGTTTATTAAATAGTATTATTACAATATATTTGCAGTATGCAATCATCTGATTACTTCCAATTTACCTGTTCACTAAAAGTTTATTTTTCATATAGGATATATGTATGTATTGTTTCATAAAGAAATAAAAGGATACAGTCCTCAAGTTTGATGTGGTCCTTGAAGATGTTGTACCACTTTTTGAGTACAATCTTATCCCACCGAGTGCCGGTCTGGGCGGCTATAAGCTTCTTGAGGTCACCTATAGTGTCGTCCGGGTTGCATTTTACACGCACCTTCTTCCCAAGACGGTCATTGCAGGTCACCTCAATCATCTTTCAACTGGAAAAGCGGGCAATTTAGAACTTGCAAAATACTATGTTGTTCCTGTGATAGAAAAAAAAGGGGCAAAATTATGGTGTTTCTATTTGAAGATTGACAACAAAAATTGATCTGAAACAGTAACACTTTAGGTGGTCCGAGCACACTGCTCCTGCTCCCCCACAGGACAGTAGTCGGAGTAGTCCAACCCTTGGTGAACTCAGAAAAATCGCCCTGGGAAATAGGAGCGAAGGTTTAGGTATAAGGTGTTTGCAATGATGCGCTTTAGTTTGTACAGAAGGCCTATATGCCACAAATGGTCAAACGCTTGGTGACACGTATAGGAAGGTCCCCATACAGTATTGTTTGGGCTCTAAGGATGAGGATATTTTGTACAATGCAAAGCACCTAAAAATACTATATATATAAACTTTGCCCTTTTGTTTTGCACTCTTTTAGACAATCTTATCAATTCTTACACTGTACGCTATCGTGTAAAAATCCACTGTTAAGGCCAAACCTCATGGAAAACGCAATTTTTATTCTAAAACTCCATGTAAAACAAATTTTATCCTAAACCTTATTTAACACCCAAATTTTAGCCTAAACCTCATGTAACACCAAAATTTTATCTAAAACTCATTTAACACCCAAATTTTAGGCTAAAACTCATGTAAAACCCACTTTTTAGCCTAACACCTTTATGTAATAGCCAATGTTTTAACTAAAACCTTATGCAAAACACATTTGTTACTATTAAACCCATTTTTTAGATTAGTATCTTATGTAAAAGCCTACTTTTTAGATTAAAACACTCTTTTTACTTATGGGGACCGCAGTAGCCGAGTGGTTAGCATGAGAGACTCTCACGCCGCGGTCGTGGGTTCGATTCCCTCCGTCGCCTCTGGCCCTTTTTTCCCGATAACCCCCAATCTGAACAACATATATAAGAATTCGTCATGGCTAATATGCAAAGATCATAAGGAAAAAAAAAACTTTTTACTTGAAAATCCACGTCTGACCGGCAAACCCAGCCAGGATAGGCAGACTGAAATGATCGATAACAACCAAATTATGTAACTAAAAGTTCTACCATCACATATTGATCTAGTATAATTAAAATATGATTATCAATAAAAAAAATCCGATCTGATCATGTCCAAAAGCACAATTATATGGCTACATTTTTCAGAATGGATTAAAATCTTAAAGTGATACTGTTAAAGAGAAACAGAAGCCAAGATTTGAATGTATTGGACAATATTTTCAAGTTTTTCTCCTTTTCTTCACATTCCATTTCCGCACTACCTACAGAAGATCGAAGTTGAAGGTACCCAATGAGTTAAAATCAAGGAGCCGGTGTTAACTTAGGGTCATCAATGGCTTAAAAATCTGAGTGATGAGAGTCATCCCGGAATCGTGGATAAGAACCACCACCGAACAATATGGAAATGTCCACATATGCAAGACCCCCGAAATCAAACATGCTCCGGAGGTGCATCCTCCTCCGCCAGGAATCATCCACGAAGACTAACATCATAATTGTCACATCGTCAAACGACTTTATTGCAATGATATACAAACTCCATCACACTGATAAATTTTCAGGTCATTTTATGACAGTCTACTTTTATAACTATTTAATAGGTTTTGTAACTTTCTTCATACTTTCACTGGGACCATCTTTTTCTCTGAATCACAAATTTCAAGCCTACTGTCATAATGTGTTCCAAATCGTCTGAGACTTGGACAGATGTATATTCTTCAAAATATTCTTAAGTTCGTTCTTATTTGATTGTTTTTTTTTTGTTTTTTTTTTAATGGAAAAAGATGCACGAGTTGAAGTTTTTAGTTGAGTTTGAAATGTAATTTACTAATATATAGTAAATTATTTTTGTGAAATTTACTTAAAAAATATAATATTAATCTCAGTGAAATTAAAAAAAATATACTTACAAAAAAAAATCAAAATATTAAAAAATCGCCCAGTAAAACAGTAAGGCTGGATAACCGCAAATGCATAACCTGAACAACATACAGACTTACAGATAGGCTGTTACAGTCAGTTATCAATCTGAATATTTTTATTCCAATGAATATATAGTATTTTTGTTTGCAAAGCTTTATTTTTCAATTTTGCTTTATAAAAAAAAGCCAAATAGAACGGATTTTTTTTTACAATTATAAATAAAAAATAATAGGGGGGAAGGGAATCGAGTTTTGCCCTGTTATAACGTAAACGACACGTGATTGGGATGGTGGGATTTTGACAGATTCTCCAGTTTTATATATACTGTTTTTTTTTTTAAGAAAACAAAAAAGAATGTCTCAGCATTTAAAGCATAAAGTCTTCTACAGGACGAACAGGTCGAATAAAATCCTCAAGGTGAATATTTTTTCTTCATAACACACTGTGGTTTATCTTTATTGAATTTTTTTTTGTGGATTTGATAGGTGGTAAGAGAGCATTATCTTAGAGATGATATTCTGTGTGGTTCGAAGGCTTGCAGTCAGTGCAGCTCTTTGAGCGAAATGGTACTTGACGAGCAGCCGCGTTCAAAGACAAAAGCATTCCCGGAGGACCACTACATATTCCTTGACACGAACGCCGTCCTTGATCAAGTTTGTTTGATTAAATTAATTTTGTTCTTAACTTTTTAATTAACTCACTCGTTACAGATAGACGCTCTCGAAGATCCGTATCTGACGAATATCGTCATACTCCAAACTGTGCTTGAAGAGGTGAAACACAGGAGTGCGACTGTATACAAACGTCTCAAGGAAATCATAGGCGACAAGTCGCGCAAGATATACGTATTTGTAAACGAACACCGACTGTATGTTCCTATTGTTTCTTATGTTGAATGTATACTGATTTTCTTTATGAAATTAAAGGGAGACTTATGTCGAGAGGGAAAACGGTGAATCAGCTAATGACAGAAATGACAGGGCGATTCGAGTGGCTGCTAAGTGGTACGAGGACCATCTCATGACAGTTAAATCCGTCCTGCTTTCAGACGATGCGGATAACAGGCTTAAGTCATTCCAATTCGGAATAACTGCTCTATCTCGTAAGTACATTACAACTTGACAAGCTCAATTTCATCAAAATCCACTAGTTTTAATAACGTTTAATGATACTTTATCAAAAATCTTAAAAAAATTGTCTCTTAAGAAAGACTTTTATATTGGAGCTTTAATAAGTGAATTTTTGTAGTAAGTGATTACGCTGAGGGAACGGATAACGTGACGTTGCTTGAGAGAGTAAGCAGCAAACGATGGTCGCAGATGAAGAACGAGGACGAGACGAAAGATTACACCGCTCATTATCCACTTGCCAGTATTCGCCAGGGGTTGAAAACAGGCAACCTGGTCCAAGGGGTGTATTTCGCGTCTCGAGACAACATTCTAGAAGGGACAGTGAAGACTGAACAAAACGACGTAAGTCAAAATCGTGTTTAATATAAGTAAAAAATAATAATATATTTAAAAACCTGTTAGATTTTATTGCAAGGAAGAGGAAGTATAAATAGGGCAATTGACGGTGATACAGTCGCCGTTGAAATATTGCCCGAGTCTGAATGGAAAGCACCGTCAAATTTAGTCATTGATTCAGGTACGTTTAATGAATCATATAAATTATAGAATCTAGCGTAAACAGACCCTTTATCATGAAGCAAGGATATTTAACATACAAACTTATTTTTTGTGTGGAAGGAAGGTACACTGCAAAAAATACAACAAAGAGAAAAGATTCATACCCCTTTATTGCAGCACTTTCCAGACCATCTCAGTATTTATATTAATCATATTAGTAACATATAAATCAGCTACTCATAAATAAGATGCACTTGCCCAAGGCGACAATCACCAACACCAGTCTTCACATCTTCTTTTTCTGATTTTCCTTGTCTCTGTTTTCTGGACTCTCTTTGTTGATTGACTCATGTCTCAACTGCTTCTTGTAAATTCACAGTACTCTGCACTCTTCATGTCTTGACTTGATTTGATTTTCTAATCTTCCACTTATTTATTTTATAAATTTAGATTGATGGATAGATACTTTTATTTACAATATTATAAACAAATAAAAAAAGTAATAATAAAAAGTATCAAAAATGATGATAACCGAGGCCGTCTTCAAGAGTTCACATCCATTTGAGAAAAGAGAAATTGAATACAACACAAAAATAGTTATAAAAATCAAACATTCAACTTCATGAACTAGACTAGAAAAAAATTTATTTTCTTCTGCTAAAAATACAAAATAGTACAAAAAATAATAAAAGAAAAGTCAATACATTACTTGATTAGTAATTAAAATTTTCAACTAAAAAATTCCTGTAAAACATAGCTTCCTTTACATAATTTATTAAATTATGCAAAAAAAAAAAAAAATCCTGGTGCTCTTTAATATTGGAAAATGACCCAAGAAATGGAGTAAATCTTCATTTTCTTTCTTATTACAAAAGCAGCAATTTATATGTAAAAATTAATTATTATATAATTATTAATTTTTAAAATTACTCTCCTTTCGCTGTAAACTGCATAATATTGGGGCCATCGATTTAGTCTCATTAAGTGAAAGACGAAACATGACCAGTTGGGGCAACGGTTTAGGCGTTGGCATGTTGCTCATCACTATTAGGTGTAAAGGGCCCGGGTTCAAATCCTGTGGCCCTGCATTGAACTCGATGCACTTACAATTTTTTTTTCCCAAAAGATACTGACACCCTGAGGGTAGATATGACCTCTGCTGTTGCGAACCCTCATTTAAATATGTATAAAAAATATAACGACCAATTTGTTTTTATCCACCGTGTTCTCAACAATGAAATCGATTCACCAGAGTTGCATATTTTAATTTTAATGCCACATCAGTCTGCCCACGAAATCTGATTATTCTATCAACTTAACTCGCGCACCAATTACATTTATTATTTACCCCTAAAAACAATGATGGACCTTGCTAATAGACTTCCTGAAGAAGTTGACCTGAACAATATTTTTTCAATATAAACTGAAGAAAATATTAACACCTAAATTGTAATTATAATTATTATTTCTACCTATCAGAATTTAATATCTCTAACTTCCTTATTTTGTTTTATATAGTGTTTTCCTTTATAATTCCTTGTTTTTATGTATTAGATACAGTACTTTTATAAAATGGGCACATGTGCCCATGTATAAATAAATAAATCTACAGTGATCCTGTTAAAGGTTCACCAAATTTAACCTAAAGTCTTTTTCTTCTTTTTCTTAAATGAGGAGTCAATATTTCCTCCATTCAGCAGTCCTGCATTCAAACCTTTACCTTTACCGACGATCCCATAACCTAAGACTTTTATTAGGGTTAAAATTAAAATTTAATTTATAGAAGATGTCGATGAAATCGCTGAAGACGACAACGCTGAGAAGCAAATGACTGGCAAGGTCGTTGGAATTATCAACAGGAAAATTGTGCAATATTGTGGTATACTGCAGCTCTCACCAGTGCATGGGGTACGCTCATATTTTACCAGTATTCCTTGTACAATGAGTATATTTCAGTGATGTACCTAGTGTGTAAATAAATTTACTAATTATATAATTTTGCCTAATTTACCGAACCATTAAAAACCAAGTAAAAGTAGTCTGACTGGGCTTCCATACGAAATTATATTTATAAAAATTTTTTAGCATACAAGGCATTTGTTTGTACCTGCTAAGAAACAAGTGCCTAAAGTGAGAATTGAAACGAGGCAAGGTGAGAGATTGTCAAAAGAAAGGATTGTCGTTGCTATAGATGCGTGGCCAAAGGATTCCAGATATCCTCAGGTAATGCAAACATTTTTCTTTAACTTATTTCAATTATTAATTTTTTTAAAATACATACAGGGCCATTTTGTTCGAGCGTTGGGCCCAATTGGATCAAAAGAGGCCGAGAACGAAGTCCTTTTACTCGAACATGATATACCTTGCGCAAATTTCTCCGAAGCGGTTCTAGCCGACCTGCCAGATGCAAATTGTACAATAAAAGAAGAGGTAATTGTAATTATTGTTCTTTATTTAATCTGTTGTGTTGAGAAATGTGTCGGGTTCGGATTCCGTTACGCGTATCGGCGGAGGGAGCGGCTTGGCAAACAAAGCTTGGAGCATGATCGGCGTGTTGTTGTGCGCTTTTCTCAGCCCGGTCAACTTCTCAGTGGCCATTTTATAAACATACTCTAACGCTTGGCGTTTCTCCTGAAACAATTTTTGTTCAAAAGTTTGATTTTGTTTTTTAACATTGAATTCTTTACCACTAGGGACGTTATGAAGTTCTCCATTGTCTGTATGTCATTCGCCTTCTTCGCAACATGCCATTTCCTTAGTAAATCCTTATCGTAAATTGCTGCAACTAATTCCATTTCTTGATATTCTGTTTTATTATTTGTTAGTGTAAGTTTGCAACAAGAAAACAATAAACAAATTTTCTTATAATTTTTATATACACTCAATTTTACCTTCACGCTTACGTTTTTCGTAGGATTCTTTTAAATTTTTCACTTCCTTCGTGACATCAATTTTCTGCTTTCTTAAACTGCTTATGTTCCTTAGGATTGAACTCATCTCGAGTAGGACAAAATCAAGCTCTTTCAACTCATTGTTCAGCCTTATCTGCATCGAGCTAAAAAAAAAAGAAATCCTTATCCTTGAAATATTTCTCATGAAAGCAACTCACTCGCTATATTTATACATGTCTCGGATTCCCTTGAGGTTTTTAATGAAGGACACGATAGTTTCTAGTTGGAGAAAAAACTGATTTATAGACGACAGAGTTAGTTTACCCTTTATCGCCATGCTATCTTCAATGGCGTTCAACATTTTTGGGTCGATACTGAAACATTTTGATAATATTTGACCGATTGTCTTTGCCAAGTGTAAAGATTCCAGCCATGCCTACATGCTCCCTATAAAGAGCAAGGCTGTCATGCAGATCTTTACAGGTTATGTGTACTAAAATATTTACGCTTTGGTAAATATTATTAAGGAAAAAGTGGTGAATTAACAAACAATAATTTATTATATTATTACATTAGAGAAACTTTGACAGAGATAAAAAATGACAAATTTAAGTAAGAACTTAAAACTAAAATATTAGTATGTCATTATTAGGACGTTATTTTATTCTTTATTTTTTTTTACTTTTTATTTTTTAAAATTTGTCATTGACAAAAGCTGAATGGTCTTTCATTAACATTACCAGTTTAAATGGTACTGGTTCACTTACTGGATCAATCTAAACTTGATGGTTTTTTATTTTACTCAAACGTGTTGAGTTTTTTTACTGAAGATGGTGCAAAACCGAAACACTTTTGAGTAGCGCCAAAAACCTGTGAGGTAGACGGACTCAGTAAGTTCAGCAAGCAACTGACTTACTGTTCACTTACTCAAAATTAATGATGATAAAATAAAGGAATTTTATATTTTCTATGAAACAGTTGTTTATTTATTTTAACACATGAAATTTTAAATTTTGCAATAAAGATCAACCCAGTAAATTTATATTTTAACATTTGAAATTGAACTTGTAAAGGTTTATTTCAATCAAAGTTTGAATTAAATATATTATGGATTATGTATTAAATTGAGTTGTTTATATTTTTATTTATTAAAATAAAAACCATCTGTGAAGTTTATAAAGTGAAAATATTTTTAAGCTTACAGGATATCATTTTTTTTGTCCAGTTCTTCCGCCACCAGGAGATTCTTAACTTCCGACATTTGATACTGTCTTTTTTCTCGAATATTGTGTACTGTATTAATTTACCAACTTGGCCTTTGTTCTTTGGAATGAAAATGTTTAAAAATATGTTCCTCCGCCATTTTGATAATGTGTAAAAATTATAAAAGAATGAATTTAAAAAAATTCTTCTGCTGTGATCGTACAGGAGATAAAGCGTCGTGTTGATCTGAGAGACAAGGTGATCTGCTCCGTCGACCCACCCGGTTGTACAGATATTGACGATGCGCTGCACTGCATCAAGCTGCCGAACGGCAACTTTGAAGTCGGCGTGCACATCGCAGACGTCAGCCATTACATCAGGCCTGGCACAGCACTGGACAAAGAAGCCGCTTTGAGGTCAACAACTGTTTACCTTACTGATAAAAGAATTGACATGATTCCTGGTGAGGATTTAAAATTTATTTCCCTTCAACAATTTTTAAAGTTAAATGTGCAATTTTTATATGGATCTGCTAATTTCTTTTCTAGCCCTGCTCAGTTCGAATCTCTGCTCACTTCAAGGAGGAGAAGAAAGACTTGCTTTTTCTTGCGTTTGGGAATTAACTCCTGATGCCAAAATTGTCTCAACCAAGGTGCACAAGTCGGTCATAAAATCAAAAGCTGCGTTGACTTATGCGGCGGCTCAGGCGATCATAGACGACATAAAAGACACCACAGAGGTCGCCGAATCACTCAGGGGGCTTAACTTTCTTGCGAAAAAATTAAAAAACGAGCGTATTAAGAATGGTGCTCTTTGCCTCGCCTCTTCTGAAATAAGGTATATAATATTTTGCCAATCACACTTGAATAAATTATTTAAAAAAAGAAGAATTTGTTCAGATTTCATGTTGATACGGAAACAAACGACCCGGTAGATGTTGTCGCCAAGAAGTTGATGGAGACCAACTCTATGGTTGAGGAGTTTATGTTGTTAGCAAACATATCGACGGCAAAGATCATTTGGAAAGAATTTCCTGAGTGTGCTTTGTTGCGTCGGCACCCTGAGCCGCCTCCTTCAAATTTTGAACCTCTTGTGAAAGCAGCATTGCAACAGGTAGGATAACTGCAAAATTAATCAGTTGTAATTTCAGTATGATTCATTCCTTGATAGGTGTTTCTTTTAACTCTCGGTATAGTTAGAAATTTCTAACATATCAGTGTGCATACAAGCTGTATTTTTGGGGTTAGAAATTTTTAAAAAATTAATTTTATAGTGTATGTACAAGGTAACAAAAAGTATAATCTGCTTTTAATTAGACTACAAATTCAGGGAAAAACTGAGGGTTGTGAGGTTAAAATCTCTTGTAAAGCAAACATTTTAGGCTAAAACTGATTAAATTCTACATTTTAGGTTTAACAATATTTTTTTAAGCTAAAATGCATGTAAAGCCCATGTTTATGAATTAAAAAACATCATGACAAACGTACATCTTTTTATCTTAACTGGACCGGACAACTATGTAAAACTAACTTTTTAGTGCTAAACCTTGTTCAAAATGTACTGTTTTTAGCCTCATATATAATTTTTGTACCAAACTTTTTCTCAAAAGCCTCTGACTCATTTTTTTAAAGCTGCTTAATCTCAAGACAAATATACTTTTTAAGTTCACTAGTTTCATGGTCCGCTTGACCAATCTTACAGTTAATTAGGGTTTTTAGTTGAGATAAAAAAAGTCAATGGCACGAGCGGGATTCGAGCCCACTATCTTTGGCAAGATACGCCGCTGCTCTACCACTTGAGCTATCGTGACCTCGATCCACTCGGACACTAACTTCCCATCTCAACCCCACCTTTTAATTTTCCCTACTTTTTGCCATTTTTCAAATGTCGTGTAATTAATCATTTGTCGCCAAGAATCAAATAGATTATACGACATTCTAGCCGAAGATCGTGGGTTTGAACCCCGATCGTGCCATTGACTTTTTTATCTCAATTAAAAACCTTAATTAATTGTAAGATATTAATTGGTCAAGCGGACCACGAAACTAGTGAATTTAATAAGTTTAAAATGAAGTATACCTTCACTAAAGCTCTCCGTGGCCATTTCATTTGTCGCCAAGAATCAAATAGATTACACGACATTTGAAAAATGGCAAAAGGAGAGAAAATTCAAAAGGTGTGGTTGAGATGGGAAGTGGATCGAGGTCACGATAGCTCAAGTGGTAGAGCAGCGGCATATCTAGCTGAAGATCGTGGGTTCGAATCCCGCTCGTGCCATTGACTTTTTTATCTCAACTAAAAACCTTAATTACTTGTAAGATACTTTTTAAGGTTAAAAATTGATATAAAACATTTTACAGGATTAAAATTAGTAAAAATAACTCATTCAAGCTGAAACTTGAACAAATAACTCCTTTAAGCATTTTCTTAATTGAAATTATGCAGCAATGATTTTTAAGAAAGGCCATGAATGAAATTTTTTTAGGGTTTTGAGTTGGATGTTTCGTCTGGTAAGGCGCTTGCTGAGAGCCTGGACTTGGCCGTCAAGGAGGACAACAGCTATTTTAACGTGATGCTGCGTATAGTGACGACTAGATGCATGATGCAGGCAGTGTACTTTTGCAGCGGGATACTGCCTGAAAAGGATTTCTTCCATTACGGTCTGGCGACGCCGATTTACACGCATTTCACCTCACCGATTAGGAGGTACTCGGACATAATCGTACACAGGCTCTTGGCAGCGCATATCGGAGCCGACACGACATATACCGATCTGCTCAATAAGAAAAAACTAGACGAACTGTGCAAGAACATGAACTACAGGAAACGCATGGCCCAGTATGCCAGTAGGGCTTCAGTCGCCCTCCATACAAGAGTACGCTTATTAATCTATTTTAATATTTACTGCCGAATACTAAAAAAACTTTCTTTTTTCAGATATTCTTCCGAAAAAAGGTTGAAAACGAAGAAGGGTACATTCTGTTTGTCAAAAAGAACGCGTTGCAGATCCTCATTCCGAAATACGGCCTCGAAGGGAATGTCTTGCTTACTTCAAAGGACAAAAAGACCCCGAGCCCTTTTGTTTTCAACAGCGAAGTAAGTTTTTATAAAAAATATAAAATATAATTAAAATTTATTTATTTATTTTTTTTCAGGACCATACACAAAGAGCAGGTGATGTCGTTTTCCACCCGTTTGACCGCGTCATCGTCCAGTTGAGTGTTGACACGTCAAACGTCCAGCATGAAAAGCTTCAAATGATCCTGGTCGAGCCACACATTCCCGGATTTTCGATTACAAACACCGAAGACCTGGTGCCGGGTGAAGGAGAAGGATTTTAGTCTTGTAAATATTTTTTTTTTCAAAAATAAATTTTTTTAAAATAAAACAGTAATATTTTTATTTTCATCTTATTTTCAAAAGATGGAAATGTATTAAAATAATATATACTAAACTCCTTATATAAAAATAGACATTGCCGTGAAAAATATCACTTTTTTTTTAATTTATCACAATCTTTTTTTTTTTTTTTTTTTAACTATAGCATAATACTATACTGTCATGAGCATTTTTATTTTGTTTTCGTTTTTCAAAGCTTAGCTGATAGTTTCATGTAAGTGGTCAATCTTCCATTGAATGCGATATCAATAACCTCTGTCATTTTGTTTACAAGGATGATGTCAATGTTGTCCTAGAAAGAATAATTAATTAATTATTATTCAGTACAATGTATTTCAGGATATTTTAACTGACAAGCTGTTCTTTTGGAATGTCGGCAAGAAGAGATTCTGATTTTTTGGGCATGATAACCTTTTTGATCCCGTTACGCACGGCAGATAGGACTTTTTCCTTGATACCTCCCACCTATAAATAAATTTAAATAAATATTTAAAATATAGAATGATAAATCTATAATTTAACTTACCGGCAATACCTGCCCTTGAAGGGATAATTCCCCAGTCATGGCAAGGTCAGGTACGATGGGCATGTCTGCGAACAGTGAAATCAACGCCGTGGCGAGAGTGACGCCTGCCGAAGGGCCTTCTTTTTCCACAGCACCGGCCGGCATATGGACATGCACATCAATTTCGTTCATCACATCTTCACCGAACTCTACTAAACCGTACTGACAATTTGATACATTAAAAACACGAAGGCTGCGATATTGAAAATGAATTTACCATCGCAGCATTCGCTCGAACCCAGTTCAAGGCGATTTTCGCGGATTCAGACAGGACTTTCCCAACTCGGCCGGTCAGTAAGAGTTCGCCTTTTCCGTATGGGAACTGACGCGCCTCGATTATGATGATCGCACCTCCAACAGGGGTGTAAGAAAGCCCGACAGCCACTCCTGACATAACCCCTGCCAGGCAATCTTCCAAGCTCGTCTCGCTGAATTTTTCCCTCTGAAAATTGACCATTCCAAAATCGTAATTTTTCTATTTAATTCAAAACCTTACCCCTAGTATTTCAATGATTTTATCTTGGTCGATGACAATAGGGAATATATCTTCATGCGTGTTTGAATCAGCAACCGTAAGTGCCACGCTCCTGCATACTGCGGCGATGTTTCTCTCGGCATTTCTTACTCCTGATTCTAATGTGTATCTTCTGACTAAAAAAAATTGCTTATAATATACATATAATCAGAATAGGCTAAAATGACTTACTGAGATATTCAATGGACTCGTCTGGTAAATGGAAATACTCGGGCTTCAAACCATGCATGTCAATTTGTTTAGGTAGTAAGTAGCTTTTAACAATCTGACATTTTTCTTCCTGTAATGGAAAAACCTGTCTTAAGCTGTCATATTGATTTCAGCATAGAAAAAATTGGCCAAAGTTGAAATTTTTAAAATTTATTTGTAGATTATTTATTATTATTTATTTTTCCTCTACCAGTCAACACACCCAGAGGATACATGTTAAGAAAAATCAGCCAACGCTGGCACTTGTTGTGGGAGATTAAAGGATGAGGAGGTCAGGAGGCCATTGTCGATTAAGGCAAAGTGTAGAGAAAGCTTGGGCAGTAGGGTGTAAGATTGATTGAAAGCTTGAGTTTGTTAAACAAAAGGAACATTGAGGTTGGTAACATAGAAAGAGAGGACCGTGGCTGCCATGTGGTTAGGGTGCCCAAATCGTATTTGCCACACTAGCACTCCTGAGTTTGAATTCAGGTGGTTTTTTAATTAAAATTAGAAAATAGAAAATTAGATAATTTTTAATTTTAATACTATTGTATGAAAAATTTATTGTAAAGAGGTTGGATCCCTCATTTGCAACACCCAATGGGTAGTCATAAGTCCTCCTTTAGGACAGGAATTACTTTACTTAGTAGTAATGATCTTTGATTAATTGAAGTCTTGTCTTTTGATTGGAAGGATTGGTTGTGCTGAATACTGGATGGCTTAGTGGGGCTCCATATGTCCAAAATGGTTGCAGTAATGTCTTGTAAAGAGTTAGTTTATTTCTGAATGTCTTGGAAGTCTTTTTGTCTGAGGCCCAGTTCACACGGAGGCAATCGGTATGACATACTGATTTTTAATCGCTAGATACTTTTTCTATAGAACCACCTTACTCTTACTTGTTTTTAGCCTAATTAAATATCAAAGAGCTACAGCTTCTAACTCGTACATTATAAAAATATGATAGAATCGATTTTCTTAATCAACATTTTGAATCGGTCATAGTCCACAATGGAAGGCCTACCACGACATTCCCTCTCTTCAAGATCGAAATTTTCAAGATGAAATCTCTGAAACCATCACTGCACCTTGCATTCGGTAATGCTTCCCGCTCCCGAAACTGTATTGATGTTATGTGCGGTTTGGGCCACACTTCACCCAAGTTTAAATTTGTACAAGTGTTTGATCAAAATCTAGTTTGCACATATTTAATTTCACGGGTCCTCACTATTATAAAATTCAATATAAACTAAAAGTTAGTGCCATGAGTGTGATTTGAACCCATGACCTTCGGCTAAATAGGCTGCTGCTCTACCTCTTGTAGAGCAGCGGGTTCGAATCTTGCTCGTCGCACTTTTTCATTTCAATAAAAAACCTTATATAAAAAGATTAATTAATTGAAATAAGTAATTTGATCAATAGACCACTAAATATAATGGATTTAATAAACTAAAATGTTTTGTTTAAAAGGTAACAGTTAAAATCCATTAAAGATTTAGCTTTGTTTACATGACAAGCACCTGCAAAATTGAAACAAATTTTCAAAACCTGCCTTAATTTTGCACCAACCCAATATATTCCAATATATAAACTTTATCAACAAAAATACTGAATTATAATAAAATATTTTGTACATACTGTTGTGTAACCGGAGACTTCTATGACTTCCATCCTGTCGACTAGCGCTGGCTGGATTGTCTTAATTGTGTTGGCCGTCGCCAGAAAAACGATTTGTGAAAGGTCAAACGGTATGTTCAGATAATGATCAACAAAATGCCTGTTCTGTTCTGGGTCTAGGACTTCCAAGAGCGCAGACGATGGATCGCCTTGTGTTCCAAACCCCTTAAAAAAGTTATTTATTGTAAATCCCTTATTGGAAATGTACAAAATAAATTACCAGCTTATCTATCTCATCGAATAGTATTACGGGGTTGTTTTCACCGGCGTTTTTCAAAGCTTGTATTATGCGTCCGCACATCGCTCCGACATAGGCTTTCCTATGGCCCCTGATTACACTAGGGTTAGACACTCCGCCAAGGCAAATCCTGTTTAAAATGATAATTAGAACATTTTTTAAAAATTGTTTTAAATTTTAAAATAAAGAATAACCTTTGAAACTTGCGACCCATGATGTTTGCGATCGACCTGCCCACACTCGTCTTTCCAACTCCTGGTGGCCCAACGAAACAAAGTATCGGTGCATTCAGGTTGTCCTTTTTCAAACGTTTTACAGCTAAGTATTCAAGAACTCTTTTCTTCACTTGCATTAATGCGTAATGATCCTTGTCTAAAGTCTGAAAAAAAAATCTAATTGTAAATTGACTTATTGAAAGATTATGTTTAAAAATTAAAATACCTTTCTGGCTTCACTTATGTTTATTTCCTTTGTGCTGGACACGGACCATGGGAGTGAGAGGATAAGATCAAGGTACGAATGGATTACAACGTGTTCTGGGTTGTTAGTTGACATCCTTTCCAATTTTGCAAGTTCCTGCTCTGCAACTTTGCTCGCCGCTTCTGGTAAATTAACCGCTCTAAAAATTTCAATTAATTTTATTTCAGTTGGTCAATATTTATAAAAAAGAAATAAAAACATACTTTAATCTCTCACGAAGATCTTTGATGTCTTTTACATTTGAGTTACGAGGCCCTCCATTGATTATATACGATCCACCACCTGGTAGAGGCATGTTTGAACCCATTATCGCAGGATATTGCATTTTTACAGTATCATCTACAAAAATATTTGATTACCTGACAAATTTCTTCTAAATAAAAAAAATTAAATTAAACTCACCTTCGTACTTTTCAATTAAAGCAACAGTTTTCTTGAGCCTTTCTAGAGGATCAAGCGATATCAAAATATCAACGCGGTCTTCAAAAGTGGTCGCAACGATATCAGCACAGGCATCGATCAGCATTATTCTTGTGTGCGAAGCGAGCCCAAAGTGGGCGGCGCCTTCGAAAGCCAGCTGCTTTTTCAATATTCTGGGGATGTTCGATACGAGGGTCTGCCAGTTTTCAATGGATTCAGTCGTCTCTTTTACTATCAAGTCTTTAACGATGATGATAGGCACTTTTACTTCGCCTGCCAAACTGGCAACTTTGAACCTGCAAATACCTACGACGACAACGTGCAACTTCGACTCTCCGTTTTGAGATGTGTACACGTTCTTGACATATCCTAGCGAGCCAATCATGCCTTTCTCCTTTATCTGTAAAATTGACAAAAAATGTGAATTATCTATCATTGCAGTCTTTTTTTTTTTTTTAATACAACTTACAACTTCTTCATTTTTTGATGGGATAAAGCCTAAGATATAGTCATCATCTTCAGATTCCATATAATATTTGAGCGTTTTTATACTGAAAAATTAAAATCAATAATTGATTATGTGGTGTGCTTTTGAAAATATCCTTTATCAATTTGATTTTAAAAACTATAAATTGTGACCCAACTTGCAACAAAGATTTAAATGCTAAAATGTACCCCTTAACCATATTAAACCAATCTCCTGAACTGACAAAAATATATAATTACTTAATTACTTATTGTAAAATAATATTTAGTCAATACATAAGCAGACATTTGTCTTTGCAGTAGTAGCTGATTTAGATAGTTTCTTATTAGTGAGAGTATATTTGTTGTATGATACTACTCAGTTAATTATTTGTAACTCAATATTTTTTTTGTAGAAATAGCCATTAATAATAAAATCTGTGAGACTATTTTATTGTAGAAGTGTCTTTATAGTCACTATCAATTCAGGGTTGACTATCTTTCTTGGTATATACATTTCTTTTACACTAATAGTCTATAAAGTGGTCAATTAGTCTTTGTTGGTGGAAGATCTTTGTAGTGTAACAATATTCAACCAAGTGTTGAATTAGTTATTTGTTAGAGGAAGTGTCATTGCATTATAATAATGACAGTGTTACAGACCTTGTCAACATTGGGACTGAGTCAGTCTTCAAAGAATTTTGAAACTATTTATTAAAAACTTATTTATCTCAATTTGTAGACTTTTTTGCTCTGATGATAACCATAAAATAGAACGAAAGCTTGGCAAATAACATTTGAATTTTTTATTTAGACAATACAGAGATACAGATTATTTATGAATGTAACAATATTCAATTAAGTGGTTAATTGGTTATTTGTTAGTAAAAGTGTCTTTGTAGTATTAGTCAATTTAGAAGTATTTAGATCTTTCTTGACAAATTTTTTTACATTAATATTCAATTAAGTGTTAGTTATTTGTTGGAAAAAGTGTCTGTAATAATAGTCAATCCATGGGTAGTTAGATCTTTTTTGGTACTTTTTTTACAATAATGATCCATTGTATGGTTAATTCCTTTGTTGGTGACTTTGTAGTGTAATAAAATATTATTATACTACAATTAAGTGGTTAATGACTTATTTGTTGGTGTGTCTTTGTAATATAATAATCTTCAATTAAGTAAGCGGTTAATTAGTTATTTGTTTGGGGCAATGGTGGCCGCAACAGTTTAGGCATTGACACATCACATCACTGTAAGGTAAAGGTCCCTGTTTCGAGTGTAGCGGCCCTGCATTCAAACGCGACTATTTTACAAATGGACTTTTTTTAAAAACACTGGCACCCTGAGGGTTCATATAATCTCATAATTGAAATTTTTATTGCTTAAAAAAAAAAAAAGAAAAAAAGTGGGATAAAATGCAAAAAATGTCTTAAAGAAAAATCAATTTGCGATAAAAAAAGAAAAAAAGTGGGATTACATGAGAATACTTTATTAGTAGAAATGTGTTTGTAGTAACAGTCAATGCAGGGTTAGTCGGATCTTTCTTCAAATATTTTTTTACAGTAATATTCAATTAAATGGCTAATCGGTTCTTTGTTGGTGGAAGTGTCTTTGTATTGTAATAATATTTAATTAAATGTTTAAGCAGTTATTAGCTCACATAATTGTCTTTGTAAAATAATAATATTCAATTAAGTGGTTAATAAATCATTTGTTGGTAAAATTGTGTGTGTAGATATAGTCATTAAAAGCTAAATCTCTGCGATTACTTTGTTGGTAGAATTGTCTTTGTAGTAATAGTCAATCAACAGTTAGTTTGATCTTTCTTGGTATATTTTTTTAAATGGTTAATCAGTTCTTTGTTGTGGAAGTGTCTTTGTAGTATAATAATATTCCATTATGTGGTTAATTAGTTATTTGTTGGTAAAGATGTATTAGATGTAGATATAGTCAACCAAGGGTTAGTTGGATCTTTCTTGGTATATTTTTTTACAGTAATAATCAATTAACTGGTTAATCAGTTATTTGTTGGTGCGAATGTCTTTGTAGTATATATTTAATTAAGTAGTTAATAGTTATTTATTGGTAAAAGTGTGTTTGTAGAGATAGTCATTAAAAGCTAAATCTCTAATGGTAGAAGTGTCTTTGTAGTAATAGTCAATCAAGGGTTAGTATCTTTTGTTGTGGAAGTGTCTTTGTAGTATAATAATATTCAATTAAGTGGCTAATTTGTTGCTAAAAGTTTTTTTTTCTTTCAAGAATTAGTCATTATTAGCCAAATCTGTGAGATTACTTTACTTGTAGAAGTGCTTTGTAGTTGTCGATCCAAAGGTAGTTGGATCTTTTTTGGTAAGATTAATTAATTAATTAATGATTACAATTAATTTGTTATTTGTTGGTGTGTCTGTAATGTAATAATATTAAATTAAGTGGTTGATTAGTTATTTGCTGGTAAAAGTATTTTTTTTTGTAGAAATAGTCATTATTAGCCAGATCTGTGAGAGTACTTTTTTGGTGAGAGTGTATTTTAATAATTCAAGGGTAGTTGAATGTTGTTGTCTTTATAGTCAATAACCAATTCAATAACTTGTTCCTTTTGTATTAATAGCCTACAAAAATCTGTATAAATCGATTGTGGTTGTGTCTTTCTAGTAATAGTCACTTTAATGTCACTAATAATTAGTTATTTTCAACAAACTAACAGATAAATTTTGTGAATCCAATTTCAGTTATGGATCCAGGATGTCATATTTAAATGAATTGTGGATCGCAATAACTGGTTTAAATAATTATGTAACAAAAAAATTAGTAAGGTAAGAAGTTTAATGTGCCTTTCATGATGCTTGTAATTATCAGATAGCAACATACATTAAGCATATAGATACTAGATAATGAAGAATAGCTAGGTTTGCTGGTTTTTAAGTGCTTTTGGACATTATTTCTTCCATGATTGTGTCCATACTCAAAACACCTGCTTCAAGTGGAGTAGCTCAACGGTTTCTCTGCAAGTTTGCTAACACCAGTTTACACTTAAATGTATTATTTAATGATTTGAAATTGTTCTTCTGCGAGCTGGACCTTCCGGATCACAGAGATGGACTCACTTGTCTTCTGATGAGATGACTATCTTCTTGGACATGCCCGGGAGTAAGACCGTGTCGGAGAAGATCAGGCCGACCTTCTTCGGCAGTTTCACTTTAATCATATTGTCAATCGTAAGAAGAACGAGGAGTCAGGGCAGAACGGTCTGGAATGATCGGTGATTAATTTCTACGCAGTTAAACATTAAACCCAGAAACTTTTTTTTATCTTAGATCTTGATTTTTGTACAATCATAAAGAAACCTTTTCAAAATTAGAAACGCGGGCTTAAATCGATTTTTAAAAAAAAATTATTAGTAAAGAATTGTTTTTGTTTTAAACAAAACGTTTTCATTTCTTTATACATAATATTGAAAGCAATAAATAATTTATTTTACTCATGGAAATAATACAAATAAATAAAATATTTTATTTTTAAATAAAAATTGAAGTAAAAAATCGATTATTTGATTACTCAGAATCGATTTATTTTACATCAGTTTTATCATTCTGTTCTTATCACTTATTTGTCCATGTCTGGTCTGGCATGTAAACGAGTTGCAAAATTTAATACAAATCAAATTTCTTTTTTTCCCCGTTTTTCTCTTTCCATTTCTGTTTAATAACCACTGCGGCTCTCATCCATGAAATAAAGAGAAAGTTGATGTGGACGCGGTGAAAAAGAAGAATCAACGTGAGTTTCTTCCTTTCCCTGTCAAAACCCTTAAAACTTGTATCCTTTCTTTTGTTACTTTTTCTATTTTTGTTTTCCATAAAGCCAAGCTTGATTTGTTTTTTAATCTCCTAGCTTTTCAGCAAAAAGCGTTAAAAAAAGTCTATTTTTTTCAATACAAAGAATAGGTTAAATTGCGCAGCTAAATGTATTTTGGGCAACCTTGCTCCATTTTGCTTTAACATATCATTGGCCGAGCTTGATTACACCCCGATTTTATTCAAACAATGACATTTCAATTGATTCATTGACTGTCAATAATGATCACGACAGTCGGTTCTTAATCAACTTGGTAGACAAGGAAAATTTTAAAAAATTAGTTGTAATGTTTTTTTGTGAAAGCTAGAAAATGATTGTGTACCCTGTTTTGTGTCACCAACTTCATCTTTAAAACTTACATTTGTCTAATAAATTTAAAAACATTCTACGTTAAAAAATAAAATGTCAAAATACTGACTAAAAATTCTTATTGATTATTACAAAAATAGTACCTCCATTGTCGCTCGCCCGCAAAGAAAATTATCATATAATTGATGAACGCAACAAAAGTCTGACACAATAGACAATTTATTAAAGCATTGTAAACATAAAGTATCATAAATTGAAAACTAAAAAGACATGTACCCAAAACACTCAGAATGACTATTACCAACAAAGTAGTTCAGGAGCAAAGAGAAAATGACATAATTGACTACTACTATAAAAAAAATTAACAAACGATTAACTATTCTTACATCAAGAAAGTCTGACAAAATAGACAATTATGTTAAAACATAGCTAACATAAAAGTACCATAAATGAAAAGCATGAGAATCAGTATAGTACCATAGAACACTCAGAATTGACTGTCACCAACAAAGATAAACAATTTTGGAATTGACAATTATTAGAAAAAGGCACATTCACCAGCAAAGACATAACATTGACTATTTCTCCAAAATATTTCAACAAAGAATTAACTACTGTTACATTAGCTATTCTTTTTCTATTACTAGGATGTCAAGAATCAACTAATTATATTTAAAAAATTGCCCTTCTAACAAAGGCTATAATTAGACAAAATAGACAATTAAGATGAAACATCGCTACCAAAAAAGGACGACAGTATTGACTGTAATAACATTCAGTACAAAGTCGCTTGCACTTACTGACAATTGATAATTACTAGAAAGACATCCCCTCCTACAAAGACAAGTATCACAGAATTGACTTTTATAATCTAATTATCCACCAAAGAACCTCTGCCAAAATAGACAATTATGACAAAACATTGCTATCTCAAAAGTACCAGTACAGCATTAATTGTACTTTTTTTTTGCTTTGGCGAAACCACTGTCACGTGTTAATTTTATTACAAATGCATTGACTATAAATGAGAAAGTAAAGGCACATTCAAAGAATTAATTACCTCTGAATTGACTTAAATGACTATTACTACAAAGGCCGTCCAATAACACAGAATGGAATTTGGAATTTATTGTAAAACAGTCTCTCCTCGCCGATTATTGTTGGTTCAGAACCAGAATGAACCAACAAAAAAGAAGCGAGAATAGGCAAAGATGGTATATAATTAACAATAGGTTTATCACCCTGTAGATCAAAAGAGGAAATTGCACAGTTTAACTTTGGAATTGACCATTACTACATGGGAATGTTTACCAAGAGAGGCTTTGAAATTGCCTATTTTACAATGGCACTTTCACCAATAAAGGCATAACAATGAAATTGGCTATTTCTACAAAGCCACGTTCACCAACAGAGATAAAACAACTTTGAAATTGACCATTATTACAAATCCACTTTCACCAACAAAGACATGACAACTTAGGAATTGATTATTACTACAAAGCCATTTTCACCAACGGTGATATAACAACTTGAAATTGGCTGTTATTACAAAGCCAATTTCACCAATAAAGGCATAACAATTTTAGTATTGACTATTACTACAAAGCCTCGTTGACTAACAGAGATATAACAATTCTGAAATTGGCTATTTCTACAAAGCCCCATTCGCCAACAGAGATAAAACAACTTTGAAATTGACCATTAATACAAAGCCACTTTCACCAATGAAGGCATTACAATTTTAGCAATGGCAAGTGACTATTACTACAAAGCCTCGTTTCTTACAGAGATATAACAATTTTGTAATTGACCATTATTACAAATCCACTTTCACCAACAAAGACATGACAACTTAGGAATTAAATATTACAACAAAGCCATTTTCACCAACAGTGATATAACAACTTGAAATTGACTGTTATTACAAAGCCAATTTTACCAATAAGGCATAACAATTTTAGCATTGACTATTACTACAAAGCCTCATTTACTAACAGAGATATAACAACTTTGACTATTTCTACAAAAGGCACTTTCACCAACAAAAACATGACAACTTAGGAATTGATTATTACTACAAAGCCATTTTCACCAACAGTGATATAACAACTTGAAATTGACCATTATTACAAAGCCATTTTCACCGATTAAAGTAGATTTTCACTTAACTTTATACTAGCAGAAATACAATCAAAAAATCAAATGTATTCCTATGCTATTGTAAAAATAATTGCTCGATTGTAGTAAATATACATAAAATCAAAATTTTACTATTTAATTGATGTAAAAGTGATTGAAAACACTTCATTATTATGAATCTCTATTCTTTTATCTACCTAAGATATTGACTTTTCCCCTTTTCTGCTTCTGGCATGTTATTATCAAGGCAGAGAATGTTTTATGTCTAAATATCCCTGGGTAATTGATTAAAATCTGATATCAGGGTTACTGAAGTTTGTTTGTTTGATTCCCTAATTAAAACTACCGTTATGGTATGAAGCTGAAATCTGGGCCTTGCCTATGCTGAAAAACTAGAAACAATTTTGTTTTGAGATTAGAAACTGGTATGTTGGAATGGACCATATGCAGTATTTATTTTTGAAATTTGTATTTAGATGTGGATTCCAACATCAGTGAAGGCGTTGCAGCATTGCAAAAGTTTGACGTCCCCTCCAAAAAGGGAGTTTTTTGCTTCCTTGAATTTTATTTTCAACAGGTATGGACATCGGCGAATTTTAAATCATTAAACTTTTTTAATGAGAAATTTTGATTGCACAGGGTTTCAGCTGAGAGGGTCAAAGAGGTCGGACCCGACAGAGCCTGCGCCGAATGGCTAATGAAGAACGGAGCTTTCATCAGGTGGATCGGCAACTCGGATTTCGTCGGACATTACAACAGCCTCCCACTGGACCCAAAATTGACCGGCAACTACAACATTGAAGAAGTGAAAGCCGACCAGGCATCTATAAGTCACCACGGTTTCGACCATTTCAGTAAGTCACCTCTTTTCAACATCATACTTGTAGGAAACACGGTACCTTTTTATTAATGAGACACTTTCTGGATTTTTTGAAATTTGATCATACCGTTTATAAACTAGGTGGCTGTCACAATTTAAGTACATTGTCCTTTCAAAAATGTTGGTTCGTTGGCGACAAAGCATTGTTAAAACTAGGTGTTCTTAAAGATTCACTCGTCAACTTGGAAATCATCGCATGTGACATGGTAACAGAGAATGGAATCAAGGATCTCAAGCATCTCTGGTAAATAGAAATTACTGAATCTAAGAGAAAAAGGCAAAACAAAAATGTATTAATGCTTCATTTATTTTTAGCAATCTCAGATTCTTGACTATCGGGAAACTTAAAAACGTGAGAAACTTTGAAAAGAACATTGAAAACCTTGCTTCTGAACTACCCGGTTGCAAAATTATCCTGTGCTGATTTTTCATTCAATTTGGAAAAAAAATCTCATATCAACAAAATGCAAACACTTTATATTATTAAAAGACATATGCCAACATAACAATTTGATTCAATTTATAATGGAAATATGAATTAAGGCGCTGTCTCGTTTAGGGCAAAATTGTCAAAGAGCCATTTTTTTTTTTTAAACACAAGAATATATTGAGGAATAATATAACATATAAGCTATAACTATTAATTATAATTGTGATGATCAATTACATTGTTTGACATAACTTACAATTTTTCACGTTGTGACCATTACTGATCATTTGTCATGAATGGTTCATATTCGGAACTATATTCAGACCAACAACTTTATCGAAAATTGTGTATATTTTTTTCTTCATAAATCCTGAAAAACTGGTATTAATTAAAAGGTACTGTGAAAAATTTCATGTTTAAAAGACTTTATTTTTGTTTTTCACCGATTAGAAGGGTGCAAACATATACGCATAATGACGCTGCATGACTGCTGGTTTGTCGACAACATGGCCATCGCAAAGCTGCGGTTTCTGAAAGATTCGCTTACTTGTCTCACAATAACGAACTGTCAAGAAATAACCGACGAAGGGTTATTAAAGATCAGCAACCTTGTGTATGCCACAGTGCATTAACAAAAAAGAAATCTGTTCGAAGAAAAAAATAAATATTTGTATTCTTTATTGCAGAAATCTTCAAGATTTTACATTCGGCAATATGATGAATTTGAAAAACCCAGATAAAATCGCCAGTGACATCAGGGAAGCGATTCCGGGCTGCATTGTCACCCAAGTCGATCAAGTTGAATAATTAGTTTATATGATTTGAGTCATTTATTTATTTGTCCCTTGCTTTAATATTGTGATGCATCAGTTGTGCAGGAGACAAAGATATAATTTGATTATGTAACGATATTTTCTTTGTCTGAAAATAAAGAAAAGGAAAATTCACAAAACTTCTGCTTTTTAATCAAAAAAGTATTTAATTTGTACATGATACAGTAAAAGTCAATTAAAAAATTAACCTCTTGAAAAAAGTTGATTAATTTATTTAAACACTTTAGTTCATTTTTTACTGTACAGTTTTCAACTTTAGGGCATAATGATTAGACAGAATAAAAATTTATTTTGATTATTTTTTCTTCTTCACCTGTAAATAATAAAGAAATGTGAGAAAAATAAGCAAACCATAATAAAGCACAATTCTTTATTTTAACACATCCTGTGTGAAAATGTATTTCTTTCTTTGACAAATCCCCATTTTATCCAACTATTTAAATATTGTCAAATTCCAATGTGTACTCGACTAATAATTGGCTGTATGCTGCAGATGAACACTTTGGAGGTCAAGACCTACAGAAAACAACATAATAAGGCTGCCATGCCTTGGTTCTATATAAGGAGCAATTATACAAAACTATATAATTTTGATAATAACTTTGTCGGACGTTTGTTTCACTTTGTGGAGGAAATATAAATTATTGCATACAATGCTGATTTTTAGACAGTGTTATACCAACAAAGGCCTGAATAAACTACAACGTCTTCTATAAAGACAGTTTTACTGACAGAGAAAAAAAAAAAGCCAGAATAGAAAAGACAAATGGAGGAGTGAGTACATTGTTCAATCTTTTTAAAAAGATAGTTCCTACTCACAGTAAGTTGTTAGCCTACAACTAATCATCAAGTTGAAGGAGCTCTACAATCATGTCTCTTGACATGAATTGCAAGACTACAAAGAGAAATATCAACAAAGACAAGAATAAGCCAGAATTGTCTACTTTTAGAGAGTTTTGCAAGTCTTGCAATTCATGTCGAGAGATGTAGTTGTAGTGCTTCTTCAACCTGATGATGAGCTGTATGCTTGAAATCCGGATCATTAAAATAACTTACTGTGAGTAGGCACTATCTTTTCAAAAAGACTAAAAAGCCAGAATTGTCTATTTTAACGAAACTTGTTAAAAAACAGAGACCTATCAATGAATTGTCTGGTCTATAAAAACAGTTATACCAAACAGAGACCTGACTAAGCTAGAATTTTCTTCTTTTACAAAAAACAGTTATAGAAACAAAGATGTTCCACTGAATTTTATGTTGCTATTAAGGTAGTGACACCAACAAATATTTGTTTCTATAAAGACAGATATACCAACAAAGACACGAATAAGCCAGAATTGTCTACTTTTAGAGAAATAAATTATACCAACAAAAACCTGACTAAGCTAGAATTTTCTTCTTTTACAAAAAATAGTTACACAACGATGTTCAACTGAATTTTATGTTGCTATTAAGGTAGTGACACCAACAAATATTTGTTTCTACAAGGCAGATACACCAACAAAGACACGAATAAGCCAGGATTGTCTACTTTTAGAGAAATAAATAATACCAATAAAGACCTACCACTAAATTGTCTGGTACTACAAAGACAGTTACACTAACAAAGACCTGACTAAGCAAGAATTTTTTTATTTTACTAAAAATAATTATACCAACAAAGATGTTCCACTGAAATTTATGTTGCTATAAAGGTAGTTACACCAACAAATATTTGTTACTACAAAGACAGATATACCAACAAAGTGACAAATCATCTACATTTAGAGAAATAAATTATACATAGACCTATCACTGAATTGTCTGGTATTACAAAAACAGTTATACCAACAATGACCTGAATAAGCTAGATTTGTCTACTTTTACAACAAATACTTATACCAACAAAGATTTACTTCTGTACTGTCTGTTACTATTAAGTCAATTACATCAACAAAGACCTCCCAGTAATAATTATTTGTTACTACAAAAACAGTTTTACCAACAAAGATGCCAATAAGCCAGAATTGTTTACTGTAAAGAAAAGAGATATATCAAAAAAATATATACCAACAATTAATGGTTATACCAACAAAGATCTGACTAATCCTAATTCAAGATAGTTAATTATACCAAAAACTACTTGACAAAGACAGAATTGTATACTATTACGAAGTCAGTTATACGAATAAATATTTGAATAAGCCTTAATTGTCTTCTAAAAGACAATTGTACCTCAATTGCCTAACTACAACTGAAGTAAAAATTCAAAATCTTCATTGTGCACAACATGAAGACTGTAAAGTTCCAAATCACGTCTGAAGGATGAAACTAGTAAGACAGTAGACCAGGATGATCAAATTTCTTATGATTTTATGTTTATTTTATTCTATTTAGTTTTTGCAGTTTTGAAAAGTTTACAATTTGTGAGAAAACAAACTTTATTTAAAAGCAATCAGACTGAATAGTCAAATTTGCAGACAAGGACAGTAAACTAAGATTTAATGCACAGAATGTGTCATTATAATTTTTTAATTTATTTATAAGTGTACTTACAGTGCCGTACACATTAAGAATTCCACTTCCAATTTTCCGCTTTTGCTTCAAGACTGCCTTACTATCAGTACGCTTCCTGTCGTAGCGATCCGGTCGGAATTGCTTGCCAAGCAGAAACAGGTCTTTCTTCTTGTTCTTCTCTTCCTTTTCCCTCTTTCGCTCTTCCTTGAGTTTCTTGTAGTTGAGATACTTGTTTTTCGGCGGTACGGCGCCCAGGGCCAGGGCGAGCTCCTTGTTTGACTTGTGCTTGTCGGGGTTTGTGAGGCCGGTCTGGGCAAACTTGTATATTTCGAACCTCGCCTGTTTCATGTCGAGCTCCTTAATGTTCGACTTTTCAGCAGCAACGACGGGTTTCTTTTCATGCCTCTTCTCGCTGAAAACGACTACTTCGTGCTTAACCCCCCTAACACTAGACCTGGTCGGTACAAAATAAGGATCTCCGCTCTCTCCCATTTTATCCTGGAAACAACACTATCTTAAGAACTGTTGATTGTGGTAAACAATTATAAACATACTTTAATAAAGATATAACAAAATAAATGTTTAATATGTTTTCCTTTTTGTACAAGTTTTAGCAGTTCAGAATGATTACAAAGCCTGCTTTCACAAAGTAGAATTTGCTATAGTAGGATATACATAGAGCAAATTAAAAACAGTTATAATTTTTTTAGCAAAATTTATACTTTATTGTTCTTACCAAATTCAGAAGTAGATTAATCTTATATAAACATTAAAAAATAAATAAATAAAATTGTTTCAAGCTTGACACAAGTTATCAAGCACGTGTGTAAACAATCCTTTCTATAACAATAGTGAAACCTTCCTTTGGATGATAAGGAAGGGCTTAATTTTTAAACTGTTTAATAAAAAAGTTAAATTGTCGAACTTTAAAAGGAAAAATGTTAAATGTCAATATTACAAATAATATGGGACAAATACAACAAATTCTGGTTGAACTGTGTTTGTACTGTACCGGTATCAATAGTTTGCTTGTCTATTGGCGAAGGTTATCATACTCGTTTCCACGTGCATTTTCCATTTGGAGAAAAAATGTCAAAAAGACAGATCGAAAACCAGGAGAAAATCAGGGGATTCATGCTCAGCAAAAAGCTCTGGACCGAAAGTCTGACAGGAGAGCTGCCTCGTTTTTATGAGAAATTCGGTGATATGCTGATATTCACAGATCCTACTTTCCAAAATGGGAAGTGGCACGAAGCAGGTACAACAGAATCTCTTTTACAAGTCAATTTTGATTTAAATTACACTGTACATGTTTATATAGCATGGTATTGTAATTGATCTAAAAATAATGATTAAAATGATTATTTAAATTAAATTAAATTGTGCTTAAAATATCTCCTAGATTTTGATCACTATATATAAAAAAATCCAAACTAGGATTTTATGACGGTTATATATCGTTAGAGCAACTAGCCATAGTTGCTTGCGGTATCTAAGCTATGAACTACCACTAGTTACACATGGATTCTAATATAGAACTATTAAGAATTGGCTACAATTTAAATTATGAATTATATCCTTGAGATTTCCTCCTCTGGTCTGCAGGGTGATAAACCTATAATTTAGCCTATTTTTTAATAAAAAAAAAAAAAAAAAAAAAATAGATACCAGGAATTGGAGTAGTTCCCGATGAACACTGCAGCTGTGGTATATATATTATATATATTACGCAGGGTGGGCGACCAAGACCCGAAGGGTTAAATGCCTGGGTAGACTCGTACCCCATCCCTAAAAGGTTCGGGACTCGGTTGGCTCACGTGTCCTGCATAAATCTCTTGGACTTGTTCACAAATCCCGAAGATTTTGGACCATTTTATCTCGGGGAGTGATTTGGTGATGTCCGCTCCTTCAAAGATTTCAAATCTAGAACTAGCATCCCTATCACACTCTGTGAGGTAGTGCCTTGCTGTTTCTTCTTTTATTTTGCAAAAACGGCAAAAAGGGTCTGGTAGAATACCCATTATGGAGAGGTCTTCTCAGTGGGCAGCAGCTAATTGAACTTTCTTCATTGCACAATTTTTGGGAGCTCACAACACGCGTATGAATTTGAGCCACCTGGCATGCTGGTGTCTTCTATCGAAGAAAGTAATTTTTGAAGGGGGTTGGGACCAAATTCAGGGTCACTGTGATCTGATCCAGCCTCAGACACAGATTAATGTCCTGTCAGTTTTTTTCAATTGTGGCCAACGGTCCCCTTAGGCATCAGAGAAAAGTCCAGAGGTGATGGTGGGAATCGAACGCATGACCACGGGATCTATTAGCCGAGAGTCTGACGCCTTAACCACTTACTGTCGTGGTCCCAATTTAATAATAATATCATCATTAATGGCAAGCCAATTAAGAACATTATACAATTTACATATTTTTCATAGAACACAATGAATTATGAAATAGATTCATCTGAACATTATTAGCCTCTGTGCATATTCTGTAAGAGTTGACCATGTAGTTTGTTTTGCTAATAGTCACATAAAACAACTTTCTATATCTAGTTCGTTTATCAGGTATATTATTCAATGCAATTCTTTCTAACAGTTCCGGACGGTTAAATAAGTAAGTTATTTATTAATCTGAAACAAACTGTAACTTTTTCCTGAACACAAACAAAAAACATAATTAAACTGTAAAGTTGCCAACTTTTCTATACTTTTCTAGAATACATATGTTCATCAACAACCTAAGGCCTTTATAAGAAAGAGATTCCAAACTTAGGCCGAGCTTGAAAGCCCCATACTTGAGGAATCTGTTTTGCACTGAACATATTTTATATAATAAGTTGACCAAACTGCTGAATTATATTCCGGAATGGGCCTTATTAATGATAAGTAAAGCACTCTTATACAATGAAAATTAATAAATTTTATTGTATTTTTCTTTAAGCAAGCAGTTTTAAACATTTATTTACAGTCGTTTCAATATGTAAAACAAAAGAGAGAATACAATCAAAAATTATTCTAAGGTCCTTAATAATACTTTAAAGTCAACAATTTAGTATCACATATTTTATACTTGTAAGTAATGGGATTTGATTTTCGACGATAACACAATTTACATTTATCAATATTTAGGGACATGTTATTAATATCATACCAATTATTAACTAGAGTTGAGTACTCTTGATTAAGCATATCACAGTCCTCTAAAGATTTTACCAGTTTAAAAAGTTTTAAGTTGTCTGCAAAGAGCCTGAATTCACAAAATTCAAAACATTTAGGAACATCATTTGTAAAAATATTGAACAATAATGGCTACAGTTGTCTCCTTGGGGCATACCGGAACTAACAGTTATTGGTATAGATCTTGAATTATTTACAATTACTGATTGTTTTCTCTCTTTAGATAGTCCCTAAGCCATTTTAGTAATTTAACATGTACACCTATAGCTTCAAGCTTACTGCACAAAATATTATGTTTTACATGATCAAATGCTTTACTGAAGTCAGTATGTATAAAATCGACCTGACATCCACGCACTCTCAACTCGACAGACAAGAATGACACATCTACACGGAAAACAAACACTTTGAGCCCTGAAGATGATCTCAATAAAGATCGAAACATTGGTACGATAAAGAAAATGTTTTTCTAAAATCTACGTCACACCCAGACCACATCTCACGACCTCCAAATAATCATCAAGTAACGGTCACTAAATAACACACACTTCATAGAATGTTGTCAAGATTATTTCCGGGATTGTCAATCCTCATTTCAAGGAATGGATATTTTATTAATCCAAAATCAGCCCGAAGTACCCGTCCAATTAGATTGTTTCTGGAGCCTAAATGAGCTTTTCCTCACCTCTCCTTTTATAAATATTTCCAATGGAGGTAGATCTGTATACGTTTTAATGTTTGGTTAGCTTGTTTTTAATGAGCTTTGGTCCACCAGATTAGTTAGCGATAGGCAGTATGTCAGGACAAACGCAAGAGTCAATACAGGACTTCTATTGAAATCTGTTTTCAAAAATGTCTGTTATTTTCAAGGGGACGAACTTTGGAAATTAGTCTGTTCTTTGTACAACGGAAAGAGAATTGGACTGAAATCTAGGATAAAAAATGACGATTTTCGTACGCCACAGGCCAGGCTTGTCTTTGGCGACTCACCTCATACTGACTTCAAAGATAATAAAATAAGGTACGTTTTATTTTTTAAATTATTGATGTTTTATTAACATTTTTTCTATGTTTGAAGGTATACATGGAACATAGAGAAGAATATGTTTTGTGCAGGGAACATAACTGAAAGGCACAGGATTGCATCTTTGAATTGCAAAGGTGAAGTGGTCGTTGATCTCTTTGCAGGCATCGGCTACTTCACGCTTCCTTATTTGGTTCATGCGAATGCCAAGTTCGTCCATGCTTGCGAATGGAATCCAGATGCAGTTGAAGCTCTCAAGTATTTTTGTGTTTATTTCAATATCTATTTATCTCTTCTCACTTGTTTTTTAATTTTTGTTATTTTAGGAAGAATTTAATTTTGAATAAAGTATCGGAGAAGTGTGCGGTCCATTTTGGTGATAATAGAGAAGTCTGTCCGAAAGGTGTGGCCGACCGGGTTAACCTCGGGCTTATCCCGAGTTCGCGGTGTTCATGGGAGACGGCTTGTGACGCGCTTCTGCCATCAGGAGGCATTCTTTACATTCACGAGAACGTCACTTCGAACTTAAACATAAAAAATGACTGTACAATCTGCCTTGGCATCCTTGAGAATATTGTCGATGAAACGTTGATTTTTGAATTGAGCAGGCCACATGGCGATTACAAGGTTTCAACCCTTGACAAAGCATTCAAGGTGAAGATGAACGAATGGTTTTACTTCACGGTCCACCTCGGGCACAGTTTGTTACATTGTTTTGAAAAGACTCAAGGCGATGGCTGGAAAGTCTGCATCGAGGAGGTGTTCAAGGTCAAATCTTATGCGCCACATATTGACCATCTTGTATTTTCCGTTCGTTGCTCGCCTGCATAATAAACACAAAAAATCAATAATGAACAGCATGGTGTGTCGTCATGACGACAGGGCAAACAAATTTGTTTTCATTCTGTTACTTTTGAGAATGGCCGTTCTAATCGGAAGCAATAAAAACAAATTGAAAAAAGATGGCAATGAACTATGGGAAGACAGGGAAGTCCGTTTTGACGTCCCCATCACGTACGTTAACAATTAATAAATTTAAAAAAAATTATATATTTTTTATATTCCAGGCAAAGCAAGATGCGTTCCGGAGAGAAAATCATAGACAAACTCGACTTTGTTGAAGACACAAAAGGCAATAACGGTGATAAAGGAAGGCTAATTGTCACCAACTTGAGAATAATGTGGCATTCTTTGTCTATTCTACGTATAAGCCTATGTAAAGTTTATTTTATTTGATTAAAACAAATTGAATATCAATCAATTTTTCTCCTTTATTTTTAAAGCGATTGGATTGAATTGTATAGTATCAGCTTCGACCAAAGTTGTCAATTCAGTGAGTACAACTCATTGCGTACAAATTTAATCATGGTGTCACAATTATTATTTTAATTTTAGAAATTAAGAGGGACAACAGAAGCCCTCCACCTTCTTACGAAATTTAACAACTCTAGATTTGAATTTATATTTACCAACCTTGTCTCTGGAAACACGAGGCACTTCACATCAGTTATGGGAGTCCATAAGTAAGTTACATACTTAAAGTTTGCAATAATATGATTAGATTTAATTTAAACACTGTTTTAAACTTTATTTAGAGCGTATTTGTCTGCAAGGCCATATCGTGAGTTAAAGTTGCGAGGTGCTGTTGTAAGGAATAAGCAGCTCTCCATCTTGCCGCTCGAGCAAATATACAATGTAATCGACGGCGTATGGAACCTTTCAAGCGACCAGGTAAGACCGAGTTGCCCAATCCACCCCGGCATTGTGAGAATTGATGATTCAATTTTCAGGGCAACCTTGGGTCATTTTACATCACAAATATTCGCCTTGTCTGGTTTGCGGAAATGAACGAAAACTTCAATATTTCACTGCCTTATATACAGATAGCATCTGTAAGTAAATATCTGTATTTAATTTTATGTATTTAGCAGTAACTAGGAATTTTATTAAGTGGTTCATTCAACTATAATTTGCAATATCTTTATTAAAGGTAGCTCTTTTGAACTAATTCATGTTAAGTAAATATTGTTAACGATTTGTTCATTACCAATCATTTTGTTAGACATTGTGTTCATATTATTGTGAGTGAAGGCTTGATTTTTGTTCTTGGTAACGTCTTTATAGTAATAGTATCTCCGTTGGTCCAGTGGTAATCAGGTTTAGGCTGTTGGTAGTGTCTTTGTTGTAATAGTCAATTCAGCAGTAATATCGTTTTTGTTATTGGTAGAGCCTTTGTTTAATAACCAATTCAACAGTGACATTGTTTTATCCCCCCCCCCTAGTGTTTTTGTTGTTATTGTCTTTGTTGTTAATTTATTCAGCGGTAATACTTTTTTGTTTTTGTGATGTCTTTGTTGTAATAGTCACTTCAACAGTAATACTGTCCCCCCTATTGTCACTTGTGATAACCTATTTAACCAATTCAGTGGTAATATGGTTTTTGTTTGTTGGTAGTGCTTTTGTTGTAATAGCCAATTCAACAGTAACACTGTTTTTTTTTCTCCTATTGTCTTTGCTGTTATATCCACTTTAATTAATTCAGCGGTAATACTGTTTTTGTTGTTGGTAGTGCCTTTGTTGTAATATCCATTTCAACAGTAGCACTATTTCCCCTGTAGTGTTTTGTTGTTATAACCACTTAAATTAATTTAGCATTTTTTTGTAGTGTCTTTGTTGTAATAGTCAATTCAATATTAATACTGTTTCCCTCTAGTGTCTTGGTTGTCACTTGAATAATTCAGCATTATAATGATTTTTGTTGTTGGTAGAGCCTTTGTTGTAATAGTCAATTCAACAGTAATATGCCCCCCCGCTCATCAGAAATGCTTTGTTTTTGCTGGTGTCTTTGTTATTGTAGACAATAATAAATTAATTTAGCCAATTCTGGTTCAGTGATTCAGCACTATGATTGTTGTTAGTTTTTTCCCTCTCTTAATGGTCTTAAGATTTGTAAGTAATCTTGAAAAACCAGTGTGATTTTACTTTAGGTTATCCTAATTATTATTGAAATTGATTTAGATGGCTTTGAAATAAATAAATTTTACAGATTTTACACTATAACATTAATATTGCTTTTAGATTAAAATCAGGGATTCAAGATTCGGGCCTGCACTTGTTGTGGAAAGCCGCCCTGGAAGTGGAGCATATGTTTTAGGATTCAGGATAGATCCACAAAGCAAGCTGCATGAAATAAGCAACGAACTTATCTCCATGTACAAAATTCACTCGGCGAACCCCGAGTTTGGTGTACAGTATTCAATCAGCGAGCAGGTATGTTTACACAGCAGTATACAATTTTTGAAATTTAATTATTCCCTCCTCAGGCCGTCCTGTCAGAGAGTGAGCCCATCAAAGCTGAAGAAGTGGAGGAAGTCGAAACGGAAGATCACGCCGGCATCCTGAGTGCTTACTATGCCGAGGGGCAGGAGGGTGAGGACGGCCCGCCGGTTTATTCACCAGAGCTCGGCCTTGCTATCGAGACTATCAGGGAGGGCCATACGCTCGCCTCGCTCTGGCAAGTTGTGCCTCCTCCGATAAATACAAAATCATAAATTGTTTATATTCAAATACAGTAGGCTTTTTTTTTTAAGGCAAATTTAATTTGTATTAAAGCCAAAAACTTATGATTATTTCCCAACACCTATTGTGGAATGTTCAAAGTGAAGTGATAAAGCTCTATGAAGTAAAAGAATAAAACACCAGAATATAATAAAGTTTAATAACTTTAATTTTTTTAATTGTCTAACCTAAGTTTCAATAATACAAAAATTAATTAACAGTACAAAAATATATTTATGTATATATGTTAAATTATTAGATTAATTGTTATTTTACAAATTTGCAGTACAAGTTTTCATATTGCTTGTACTGTTTTGAAAAATTTTGAAAGGCACTGATTATCTTGTGAATCTGTATCTCTGCCTCCTGACCAAGTCTCGTTCACTCTGCGTGGGCACTCTCGGTTTTAACTCGGGCGTAATGGCGAGCCCAGTTACCTGTAGGTCACTGCAGATGCTGATATCGCTGCCTTCCAAGCTCATTTTTGACCTGTTGTCAAAATTGGTTAGAAATCAAATGATTTTACAAGAAATAATGTTGGTTTACCTTGTGTCAAAACGGGAGGCGTATTCCGGGTCGAGAAAACCGTCCATGTCGTCAGGCGGCTCCAACCTCGTTCTCTCCTTCTATCAACACACACTCCTACATTCTTCAAACTGATTAAATCCTACTATTTAGAAATGACTATCTCTTTTTGTTTTTATCAAGCATTTTACTTTCTAGGCATGCACTTTTGGTCTTTTTCTTTTCAATTTATACCTTGGTCTGTTGAAGATTTTGAAACGAAAGCTCTGGCACGTATTGGAGAGAATGCCTTTCGTTTCTTAAACTGTGTGCATACTGTTCAATCATCTTTCCTCCTATTTGTGTAAAAACAAGCATTGTTAATTAATAATAACTAAATTGGAAAAAATGTATTGGATTGAATTTAAAAAAATTGTATCTTGCTTTTAATAAAACAGAAAGAAAATTTAAATGAACAAATATTTGGTTTTCCTTCAGTTAAGTTACATATCCAAAAGATTTAAAAACTTAAAATAATTAAATTTAATTAATAATTTATTANATAATTAAATTTAATAATAATTAAATTTAATTAACTAACTAAAAAAAAAAAGAAATAAATGTATGGTTCATATAAATATTGGTAATAGTAGTGTAAGTTAGATCATACAAGTTCACAACTTTATTTTTTCAAAAATGAGTCATTTGACATAATTAGTTATATTTGTTAGTTTAGTTGTAAAATAGATTTATTTTCAATTTTTGAAAATAAGCAACCTGCATTAGGTGGTCATGATAAGGAAATCATGCAGTATGATCAAAATAATCGCTAATTTAGAGTCAGGCAATACAGTTTTTGTTGTTGGTAGTGTCTTTGTTGTAATAGTCAATTCGGCAGTAATAAGTTTTCGTTGTAGGAGTCAATTTGGTGCAGTAATCCAGTTTTTGTTGATGGTAGTGTCTTTGTTGTAATAGCCTATTTGGCAGTAATATAGTTTTTTTTGTCTTTGTTGTAATAGTCAATTTGGCAATAATATATTTTTTTTATTGGTAGTGTCGTTGTTGTAATAGCCAATTTGACAGTAATACAGTTTTTGTTGGTAAATGGTAATGTCTTTGTTGTAATAGTCAGTTTGGCAGTAATACAATTTTTTTTCTGGTAGTGTTTTTGTTATAAAAGTCAATTCGGCAGTAATAATTTTGTTGCAGGTTATGTCTTTGTTGTAATACTCAATTTACGAGAGATTATACTTTTTTTTTTTAATTTTTGTATAGCAATATTTTAGTAGGATAGTCAAATATGTGGTACTTAGGGCTTTTTTAATGGTTGATTTTGTAATGAAAGGTTGTTTTGTCAATTAAGAATCGAAGTTAAGCTTTTTGTGATATGTATTAAATACTTTTAGAGGGACTTTTTAGTTATAGTTAATTCAGGTTAAATATTTGTCATAGGCAGTTTTTTTTGTAGTAAATGTCAACTTTTATTGCTTCTTTGTTATGGGGGAGGGGCAAAAACTAGGAAAAACATAATAACAACCTTGCCTCTTAGATCTGCTGATTTGGGATGTTTGGTGTGAATTGTACTGCATAACGCTCCTTTCTGAACTGGTGTTTTCTTGGCCGTTTCTCGAGTTGGTTTTGGCGAATGTGAGCTTCATCTCAACATCTGGGGGTGTCCGGTCCTTCGTCCCACTCGACCCGGCAACTGTCACTGTCCAGCTGGTGCCTAGAAAAAATTGGTTACAAATTCCTAAATGTTTTAGCAAAATTAAATTTTGAGATAGTTTCTCATATTTCAACATGTGCTTATATTCACCAACTATTATCAGATAGTTAAACATACCCATGTCGTTAGCTGGTTGGCTGTAAAAAGCCTGATGCTTATGGTGGGATTTGCGCTCTGATAGTTGAAGCTGTTGAGGCGAAGGACTCTCAGAAAGAATTACCGTTGAGGATGTAATTGAGCTGACAGAATGTTCAGACCGTGCCACTTCTACCGCCTCTGAAATGATTAAAAAAGTTAAAAATTGTTTACAAAATTTGTATATGTACTTACTTGTAGATAGTGTGTTCTCTGCTATTTCAAATTCCCTTTCGACACCAGTCTTCGACAGTTTTTCTATAGCGGTTACGTGCTCTCTCATTGTGTTGAATTCTCGTCTCTTTTTCCTGCCACACACTTCGGGAAGCTGTTGTTGGTATTTTTTTGAACTGTGCTGAAGTTTCTCGACATTTTCCGGTGTTGAGGAGGAACTCGAACTGTGGATTTCGGGTAATGTGATATTACTGGGGTTTTTGCTGTTTTTCTGCTTCTTTTTGGTCTCTCTTTGCGGAAGGTCAGGTAGAACGACTCCTTTCTGCTGCATATGCTCTGGTGTAGCATGTATCTCCACGGTATACTGCTTGAACCTCTCTTCGGATATCTTACTGCCTGCAGATATCTTCGGGATCATCTGGTTCCCTTCATTTTGCCAATTCTGAGCTAAAATAATAAATATAAAAAAAATGCATGAAGAAAAAATATTGGAATTTACCTTCTTCATTGTCTGAGAATTCCTGACTGTCTTTAAGAAGGTAGAAGTTGATCCATCCTTTGGAGAGTGTCATGAGCTCATCGTGTTCCTCGACATGCGTCGTTGCAAGTGCGGCTCTTCCTTTGTATTGACGAATGACTTCCAGCCCTTCGCCGAGATTACCTGATTCTTTCTTCCCTTCTTCATCTGGAATCGCTCTGAACCTCCCGATGACAAGATTGGACTTTTTGCCTGCTACCTGGACTGGCTTTTTTGTGGCCGTCTCAACAGCATCATCTTCCGGTGAGTACCTCATCTCGGTATCTTCTTTGATTTCTTTCAGCTGCCTCTGGTTGGTCATCGTGCTCTTGTTAGATTTCTGCCATTCCCTCCCTAGATCCAGAGGGATGATCTGCTCTTCCATCACAGACTCATTGGAGCTGTTCTTCTCTTCAGGTATTGCTTCGAACTTCCTTAGAAATTTATTATTACCGTTTTTACCCCTTCCGCAGACTTTTTGAGGTCTTTTGTCTTCTTTTTGATCCGTAAGCTTTCTGTGTTGCAGCTTTGTCTTCAAATTGTTACTGGACGATTGGTTCTCCTTTTGTTTCTCAGCAGCGACGGATATTTGTTTTTTATGCAGAACGCAGATGTGGCAACTGCATCGTGGATTGGTCAATTCTAGAATGTCAGTTGTGTTCGGGTCGTCTGTCAACAGCTGGCCGGTCCTCTTGCAATAAAGATTAGTTTCTTTTTTACTTTTAGCACTTTTCTCCACAGCCAGAGGCACCCTCCTAATAGTGTCCTTTTTTGCCTTATGACCGGTTTTTTCTGCCTTGCCATCATTCAAAAATGGCTTGACTTCATTGACCGTCTCAGTCTGTGAGGAAGAAGATGCCAGAGGATTCACGGTGTTACAAGATTTATCCATTTTGCTGTCTACCTCGTCGATTGTTTCGGTCCCTTTGTCTTCTTGGTTGTTGAGCATCTCGATAAACGATATTTCATCCTCCGGAAAAGACTCTTTTGTCTGTACCAGGGTTGACACGGAAAAACTGTTTGTGTTGCTCGCTTTTTCATCCATCCTCAAGATGTTGTCGAACACCGGGGTGGGACTGTTTTCTGAAGAATCTGTCTCCATGTGACCTGCAGATTCTTTATTTTGAGTTCTTTCTAGATAGGATTCGGTCGTTTGGATTAGCTCTGAGAGATAGGGATGGGTCGTATTGCAGGATTTTTCCGTTGTGTTCTTCTCATCGAATTCTTCATCCTCCGTCTGCTGCATCTGGTTCACTGTGAAAGGTGAATCTGCAGTGGACACCGCTTTGGACTCCATTGCCTCTTGGTGAACATTAACAGCGGAAAACGCGTCAGTCAAGACCGCTTTAGATTCGACAGATTTGCCGACCTGCAGTTCTTCATCTACTGTAAAAGGATCTTCTGTTGACACTGATTTCGATTCTGTCGTCTCAACTTGTTCTCCTCTGTCTGTCGTAAATGGAGAATCTGCAGTCGAGACGGATTTCGACTCGTGTTTCGTATTAGATCCTTTCTCATCTTCATCCGGGTTACTGCATTCGTTCATAGCGGACAAAAGAATTTCAGCGACCGTCCTGTCGTCGGCTTTCGACTCGAAAAGCGGTCTGAACTGTTTAAAAGAATATCCTCTAGTTTCTTGCTTTTTCACGACCTCTAATTTCTTCAGATGCTTCTGTTGTTTCTCGTCCTTTTCTTCTTCGCGAGTTTTCGTGCTCTGAAATTCGACGTTCGTCGACCCTGCGTCCAGTTGGAACTGCCCAACGTTCGATTTCATTATGATCTTCTGACTGTTGAAGGCGTCTTCGTTATTTATAACTTCGGAAGTTTGTATGTTTTTACCGTCTTTTAAAAAAGCTTCGTTGTTCAGGTTGATCTGTTTCTCCTTAGTTATCACAGTTTTTAACTGGTTCGACATTTCTATCTTGATTATCTCAGAAATGTGAACGTAATTTTGACCATCTTGGCTGTTTTTGTTCGTTATAGCTAATTGGCCGTTTTCTTTTGACGGTTTGTCGTCTCGATCGCACGGTTGATTGTTCGGTTTAACGATCACCGTTTTATTACTTTCTCCTCTGTTGTTCGAACTCGTCTGTTCCACTCTGTCGGTCCCTTTCCTTGTGTTGCTCTGACTTTCCTCGTTCCCTTTGCACTCGAACTTTACAGATTTGGCAGATTTTCTCTTTGGGTTCTCTTTGGAATTGGACGAATTCGATTCGTAATTTTCCACCCTTTTCACAGTCTTCTTCCTCCTCCTGTATATAATAGTTTGACTTTTGTTGAGTTTGATTTCGAATAGTTTTTTAATCTCTTCCTCGCTCCTTTTCAGACGTGCGGACAGCCATTCGGGGATGGGGTACTCTTTGATCATGTCCTGTTCCCCGTTGATGGACAGAAAATAAGCGTAGGCGTCTCCTCCTTTTCGAAATTTCTTTTTGCTGTGCGAAGCCTCTAAACTGACCTCACCTCTGACCAGCCTGTTGTCGTGCTTGCTCTCCGGCCATTCATTCTCTACCGTCAACTGGTCTTCGAGGCTGTCGGTCAGACTCAGGTCACTGTCGCTGGAATAGTCAACAGAAGAAGTATTGACTATCATCGAGTTTGACCTCGGCACGGCGGAAAATCTGGCTATCACGGATTCCGCCTCTGCCATGTCTTTGTAGTTGCCTCCGGTGCAGGCGACATCCGCGTCCAGACTCTTGCTCACCGCTTTTTGATAACAAACTGCCAAGGGAGGAAACGATTTACTCGATTTAAGAATATTTTCCGTCTGGTGACATTTGTCTTTTCTATCTAAGCTTTTTCCGAGTTTGTGAATTTGCCTAAGTCTTCTCGGCTTTTCTTCAGCAGGTGTTATATTACCGTTTGCTGGCTTGGCGTTTTTTTTATCCCTGTTAAAATTATTTTCGCTCACTTGAACGCCTACGTTTGTAAATGCATTTTCAACATCAGTGTTCACACCTATTTCTCTGGAATACTCGATTTTTGAGATGGACTTTGGCGGTTGAGCGTTCTCTGAGACGTCCGAGACGTATTCTAGTGCGCTGTCAATGTACGTGCTCTTGTCCATTTTTGACTGGATTTCTTTGAGTTCTCGCTTGTCCCATTCTCCGACTGACGTGCTTCTGTCTTTTCTCCCTGAGGTGATGGCCCCGATATCGTCTTCCGTGATGGTGCCCACCGATTGTGGCATCAGCGCGAGCCTGCTTTCCTCGTCGTCCTGGGCAAAGCCGAAGTGCCAGTTGTTCGCGTCGTCCGAGACCTGGATAGGCCGTATCAGGAGGCATTCGGTGTGGACGGCTATTAAGTTTCCCGAAGGGGCGTATATGCTTCTCTCTAGGATTCTCGCCTTTTCCGAGTTGAAGGAAATGGGCGTAACGGTCGTCGGGCTTGAAGATTGAACGCTCAATGTGGAGTCTTGGGTCGAAGTCGTCCTGTCCGACACCGTCTGGCTCAGGGTGTAGTCAGAAGACGTGTAGGACCAACTGTTCGAGCAGAGGCCGCAGCGATGCCCGGCGGGCCCATAGCAGGAGACATGCGAGGGCGATGGTGTCCCGAAGAGCTTATCGCTCGCCGATGCGGGCCTCAAACATTTATAAATCTTCCCTTCGTCCGAAGACGAGACGTCGGGAAAAGAGCTCGCCCTCGGCCTCGACAAGGAAGGAGAACTTTCCACCAACACTCGCTCGTTGAGGGGCTGGCTGTCGGATTGGCACTTGACTTGCGGGCTCGTCTGGGACGACCTGTTGACTCTGCAGCTCGGCTTGGACGGTTTCCTCCTCGTCGCGTTCCTCCGCGGGCGTCCGTTCCTTCTGTTGACGCTCTCGGAGGAACTGCTTGAACTCTGGCCCAACCGGAACTTCCTCATCACCGTCTCCGGCATCGAATATCTCCGATGTGGGAGATCAGGACCCCTCATACTAAAACATATAACAATAAAACACTCAATAAGTAAACAAAATAGTAACTAAAATAATCAATGAATAAATCAACCAATAAATAAACCAACTAACTATTACATAAATAAACTAAGCCATAAACAAACAAATTAATTATTAACAAAACTAATAAATCATTACATTAAATAATCATTAACAAAAGCACCACCCAACAAATAAGTAAGCGAAAAAACAAACAACTACCAGCATTCAAGCAAATATATACATATTTGCTTACCAACGTCTGTTTAATAATGTTTTTACGTACACTTGTAGTTTAAGATACACGAGATAGCTTTTTGAAAAGTTTTTAACTGACTTATGTACTCGATTTTTTAGTCTCTCTCTTTCTCTGTCAGTCTGTTTCTCTCTCACTCTCTCTCTTTCTATGTCTGTCTTTCTTTCTCTCTGTCCTTCTTTTTCTGTTTCTATGTGCCATGCTCTCTATTTCTCTCTCTCTCTCTCTCTCTCTCTCTCTCTCTCTCTCTCTCTCTGTCTCACTCTCACTCTCTCTCTCTTTCTCTGTCTCTCTCTCTCTCCCTGTCTCTCCCTCCCTCTCGCTCTCTCTCCCTTCCTTTCTGTGCCTCTCTCCCTCTCTATTTCTTTTTTCTCGGTCTGTCTGTTCCTGACTCTCTCTTGATTGAATGAAGAGAGGTCCGAGAAAAGGATTTCTGCATTCTAAATAAAACGTTCTCTCTCACTCTCTCTCTCTCTCTCTCTCTCTCTCCCTCCCTCCTCTCCCTTTCTGTGTGTGTGTGTGTGTGTGTGTCTCTCCCTCCCTATCTATCTCTTTCTCTCTTTCACCTGTAGTCTAAAATACACGAGATAGCTTTTTAAAAATTCTTAACGGTCTTATGTACTTGAATCTTTTTGACGAAAAACAGCGTTCTGTCTGGTAGATCCGATATTTTTTCCGTTAATCGGCATGAAATGTGGGGTTTGCGTGATGGCCGGAGGACTCGCGGAAGAGTTTTTGAACGGTGGCCAAAGAGCGGCCGTGTCGTGCACGACGTGGGGTTACTGGGTCAGACGTGATACAAAACAATATCACAGTGACGAAACGGCTCGTCTTAATTTTGTGTTAACGCCAGTTTTATCGAATGGACGATTCCGTTTTGTTTCAGGGAGTCGCACGAAGGTGATTCACTAAACAATAATTTTAAATAAAAAGGATACATGCAATTCAAACATTTAAAACACTCTCTTTGTAAAAACAACCTGTGGACACTTTTCAGTATAAAACAACAATCCAAAAAAACCTTTCTCTATCATGCTACCTCCGCATAATATTTCATTTTTATAACAAGAAAATTTATAAACAGAGATTGATTTTATAAGCGGTTGAATCCCTCGCCTGGAAAGATTTTGTCTTTAAAATGAACGGTTCTTGTCATATTTTGAGTCGTATCGATAGATCGTGCGAGCCGATTTTCCCCCAGGTGCTGGAGAAATATGTCCAAATCCACGACCAAGGCTCGTGATGACTTCTTTTCGACATTTTCGCAAGTCGAATTTCATCCGTGCCCTCTTGTCCGAACCTATCGATGAGAAAATGTGAAATTGGCAAAAGGAATAATTTATGGCTTTCCTCTCTCTATCTGCCATTCAACAGGCTCTTGATCAATTTATGAACCTCATATACCTTTGTTCCATCACACGCTATCTCTTCTTATATCTATGTATTTCTTGATGTCACTCCTTATATTTCCAGGTCTGGCTATAATTTTTTTATATTTCACGCTCTTTGTCCCTCTATTTTTCTCTTCTTCCTAGCTAAGACTGACTTCCTTTTTATTTATCTGTCTATATCTGCTTTTTTCCGTATCTTTTTGTTTCCTTTACTCTCTCTATTTCTCTTTCTTTTTTAACTATTTTGTCTTTTTCTATATGTCTGTATCAATATCTTCTCTATTTTAATTATCTTCCTCTATATCTTTTACTAACTATAACTGTATTGTCTGTCGACCTCACTGTAATTTTTGTATATATCACCTCTCCCCTCACTCTCTTTCTGTCTCCATCTTCCTGTTTCTCCGTCCCTGTCTGACTGTCTCTGATTATTTCTCCATCCTTTCTTCTCTCTCTCTCTCTCTCTCTCTCTCTCACCCTCTTTCCCTCTCTCTCTCTCGCCCTCTTTTAACTACGCTTTGTCTTTTTTTCAATCTGTACTGTCTGCGACCCCATTGTAATTTTTAAATATCTATCATTTCTTTCCCTCTCTATCTTTCTCACTCATTCTCTCTCTATCTCTCTTTGTCGCTCTGTCTCTTCCACTATCTCTCTCTCTCTCTCGTCTATCTCTCTTTGTCGCTCTATCTCTTCCACTATCTCTCTTTTCGCCCTGCCTCTTTCACTATTTCCCTCTCTCGTCTATCTCTCTTTGTTGCTCTGTCTCTTTCACTCTCTCCCTCTCTCGTCTATCTCTCTTTGTCGCTCCCTCTCTCTTTCACTATCTCGGTGTGTCTCTGTTTCTGTCTGTCTGTCTCTCTCTCTCTCTCTCTCTCTCTCTCTCTCTCTCTCTCTCTCTCTCTCTCTCTCTTAAAAAAAAGAAAAAAAAGGAAAAAAGTGGTATGTATGAGTCACCAAATTTTGCGACTATCTATTCTACTCGTCTTCTTTTCTTTATCGCTATTTTGCTCTATTTCCACTTGAAAATGGACTGTAGGATTTAACGCGCTAAGCATTCGATTGGCTGATTAATGTTTGCATTTTATTATTAGTTTAGGTACATTTAATGATTTTGCTAAGTGCATTTTTTATCTCTAAGAATGCAAATAATCTTTACATAAATTTTATTAAAGTCTTATAAAAATCATAAAACTGGAAGTTTCGACGTACATGCAATAACAGAATTATTAATGATTTGGAAGAGTGGAACAATTGTACCTCCGGTCCGAGATAAGTCCTTATCTTAAACAGACTTGCATATATTCTTTTGACACGTGTCGGTGTGCTTTAACAAAAGGTGACCGAATTTCGTACGCATGCGGCTCTTGGTAATTTTTTAGCGTCTCAAAGGATAATGACTAACCGGAAGGATTATTTTGTCAATAAGAAATGGTAACCATTGGTTACTTTCGTGGCATTTCGATATTAGAAGAACAGGCTAACCTAGAATTCCGGAATGCGTACTTCACGCAACGCCGATACCCCCGAGGGGTACGAGATTCGGATTTTACACGAAACTGGATTCCCCACTTGTGTTGGTTAACAATCTACTCACCCCATTCTTCCCTAAACAGAAGAAAAAAAAATAGACTACGTCGCTCCCTTTATGGAGCTCCCTTCTAATCCTCTCTAAAAACAAATTTGGTTAATTCTGGGTATCAATTAAAAAAGAGTGTGGTTGGAAGGCCAGATTGTAAATTGTGTTAAAATAATTTAGGGTCACGTAACACAAGGCCTTGTGCTGCCTTCTATTATCTAATCTAACCTAATCTACAATAGGCAAAATGGTACAAAATAAAATCTATTTTACTGGACGACAGTCAAGGTCTGCATTATTGAAACTGCACTTAGTGTACCATATATCAAATTTAGAAAAGTCAATTTATGAGAGAAATAAAAACTTTAATGCAAAGCAAACCTGAGAAAATGTCGTTTTAAACCTTACTGTACAGTATAAAACAAAGAGGTAGTCAACTTTGCAAGAGAAGCAAGTCTTTTGAAAGATACTAGATTCAATATTGTCAATTTAATCAAATAGATAAATGAAAGAAACTGTTCTGCAATAAATGGCGTCATGGTAATATTTGTTTGGTGATGCGACAAAAATTGCTGAGGTTCGTCTGACAATGAGACCGACTGTACCACCCACCATTATTCCCAGGATTTTTGAAGAGCCATCTGTACCAGACAAGTCAAGATTTTTTTAAAGACATTTAGTGTAGACAGATTTCCAGGACAACGGAAGGTTTCATTATTGTTACGGTGGGGTAGCCAAAATTGCTGCAGTTGAACAGAGGCACTAGGTCAACCACCATATTCCTTGGCTTTAGCGCCTCTACTTTACCATATTTTACTCTCAATGCATAGTTATTGAGACAGAAAAAACACTTATAGCCAAGTAAACTATTACAAAAAAACCACTAATTTAAACAAAATTTCATCAATTAAAATAGTATCGGCAAATTTTCAGGACGACGGAAGGTTTATTGTTATGGTGGGGCGGCAAAAATTGCTGCAGTTGGACAAATATGCACTACGTCAACCAACATATTTAGCGCCTTTACTTACCATATTTTACTCTCAATGCATTCTTATTTGAACAGAAAATATTTAGAGTCAAAGAAAGTAGCAAAATAATACTTAATAAAATGGCGATTAATTTACACAAAATTTTATGTATTAAAATAGTATCGATAGAATTCCAGGGCGAAGGAAGGTTTTATTATTGTTATGATGGGGGGGGGGCAAAAATTGCTGCAGTTGGACAAATATACACTACTTCAACCAAAATATTTAGCGCCTTTACTTATCATATTTTACTCTCAATGCATTGCCAATTGAACAGAAAATATTTAGAGTCATACAAAGTGGCAAAATATTACTTAATAAACTAGCGATTAATTTAAACAAAATTTTAGGTATTAAAATAGTATCGCCAGATTTCCATGATAAAGGAAGTAAAGGAAGGTTTCATTATTGCTTTGATAGGCGGCGAAAATTGCTGCTGTTGGACAAAGAAGCATATGTCACCATATTTTTTAGTTATAGCACCTTCAGATTATCTATTAATCTATTTCAATTAATTCAATTATTTATAATATTACAAAATTAATACTAATGGATGAATTATAATATTATTTGGCGTAGAGGGTTTGAATAGAAGTAGCCTGTTTTTTTCCGCAGTCTAACCTAGGTAATTTTGTCGGTTTTTTACCGCTGTGAAAAAAAAATAAAAAATTCTGATTTGATGGATTAGTTAACAAAAGGGTATAAACGCGAATTTAAATGGAAAATAACAATTTTGTACGCTTGTC